GGGTGTTGTAGTTAGTTGTGGGTGACATCAAGAGTCTGCGTCGAACGGGCAGGTTGTAGTTTGGCAATGGCGAAGAATGTGACAGTAAAGTAATTCGGTCTGGTTCTATCAAGAAATTGAAGCAGGAGCAAGAGGAATGTTTAGCAAATGTAATCGCTGGAAAAATTTGTAGCGCTACTCCCCACGGGCTCCGTTAGCGGCAAAAGAGATGGCTAGGCTAAATGCTAACGACAGAGTCAGGCGCACTACATACGTCACGGTAAACTCAGATCCAATCGTTTCAATCTGCAAAAGGAGTTAACCTCTCCTATCTGTAAACGGAGCTCAATGGAGCAAATCCAGATTTTAGTACGAAATGTAATTTGGGTTCGAATCCCGGCCGGACCAGGGCCTTTCTGAGTGGAGTTTGCATGTTCTCCCCGTGTCTGCGTAGGTTTCCTCCGGGTACTCCGGTTTCCCCTACCACTAAAAACATGCACAAAAGGTCTGGCATGCGCCTCCTGTACTGGCCCCGCTCCCATCTCTGTGTGGAGTGAGAGGACAAGTGCCCAAAAAATAATAACAATTGTAAACCGCTTTGTGACTCTGGTCTGTGAAAGGCGGTATATAAATAAAGATTACTTACTTACTTACTTACTTGTACTATGGTGTGGTACAACCAGGCTAACAAATGACACAACCTTTTATGTCTTTCTGCTGTAAAGGGACTGCTCTGTGATAGTTTATATAAATGTGTAAGTGGCCAAAATAAAATAAAAACTTCAGAGCAGAGAAGTCCAGATTTAAAAATGACAGCCTGGACTAACAATTATTATTCAGCCAGGTATATACTGAGTTATCAGAATCTTTTATTTTCAGGGGAGTCCTGGCCCTGGAGAGAGAGAGGAAATATTTTACATGTTTTTAGTGTAGGGAAAATTAGAGCAGACACAGGGAGAACATGCAAACTCCCCCCGATAAAGGCCTTTGTCTAGACAGGGATTCAAACCGAAGACCTTCTTGCTGAGAAGTGAGAGACCAAATCACAAACCCAGCCACTGTTCCAGTCTCGGACACACCGAGACCATGGTCAACCTGCAATTAAAGTCAGCTGGAGAAACTTGTGATGTCACACAGCAGGTGCCCAGAAGCAGATGTAGAGCACATTTTAAGTTTATGGGAACAATATCTGATATAAATAGTGGCAGAACACAGCTGAGAAACTGTGTCAGTGTTTTATCCTCTGAAATATTCAACTAAGTGCAACTTCTACAGTGCATAAAAATAGACATTCACCAGCTGGCTCAGGAGCAGGACCTCACTCAGCCAGGCACGGCTCCGTACGGAAAATGAGATAAAAGAGGCGCAAATGGAGATAATCATAAAACACAATGAAATTCAGACTTTTATAGATCGACCGTGACAAACATCACTTGCACATCTAAAACAGTAACCTTCACATAACTGCAAAAATGTATGAAAAAAAAGTCAAAATGTCTCTTAAAGGTATATAAGGGGGATCAACAAGACTATTGGCCCTCCCCATTGTCACTCATTCTGGTGATACGTGCTCGTCAAGTAAGACCAGAGAGTTTTGGCCAAAAAATGGAGAGGGCGGTTCTTTTCTAAAATTGGTAAAATCCTCCTATGTGGATTTCTATCTGCCCATTAGAAATTCTGACCACTACTAGACTTCAAAATCAGTACTCAAAACCCATCTTTTCAAACAAGCTTTTCTACAAACCCCCTTTTTTATTTGTATTATATTTTATTCCCCAAGCGTCTTTGAGAGTCCAAAAAAAGTGTATTATTATTATCATTGTTATTATTATTGTTATTATTACTATATATATACTTTTAATTTGAGCACATTTTCACTGCCTTAAAACAGGATTTGCCAACGGGACAAGCAAAAATTATCTTGTTTTGAAATTATACAAGAATTCTCCCTTGGAATGAGAAAATAACCCGGAAATAAGATTACACGGCTTCGTCCCATAGGTGAATCTTGTTTTAGAATGTTCTCAGATTAAGATAAAAAAACACCTGATTCAAGCCTTTACCTCATATTGTATAATTTTTCGCAGTGTTGTCCCAGCGTTACATCTGCATGTCAAAAAATAAGTGAAAAGTTGGTCATATAAGACAAAAAAGGACAAGATTCTGAATAATGGGCGGTTCCCGACTGAGAGTGAGCTTTCTTCCAATATACTTTAGTACTTTGCATGCGTTGTCCTCTAAGTGGAGGCTTTGTCCTTGAACAGCTCCAAGTTTCATTCATAGAGTGTGCCTCCCTCTGGTGGACAGTCAGTGGTAATGCAGGAATAATTTACTCTCGCCTCTCAGTAAGAAGAACGTCGTGGGTTCAACTCCCAGGCGGCATGAGGTCTTTCTGAATGTACATGTTATCCCCGGGTCTGATTGGTCCCCTGTGAGGCCTGGAACCAAATTCTAGAAATCTCAATGGGAAAACTCTGGTCAAATGAAGGTTAGTAAAGCAGTTTACCTTGACATTAAGATAAGATAAAATAAACTATTGATCTCACAATGGAGAAATGTACATGTGACATTTGGCAGAATCACTCAGGGAGTGCCCAAAGACAGGAAGTGTGCAAATGTTAAAATATAGTCCATTTTGTGGAAGATATATTATAAATATAACATTCTGCATACAGTGTGAAGATGCGATTTCATATTTTCACTGTACAATATTGATTCTATTTTATCATCTATCAATATTTAGATTACTATAGCTCAGAGAATAGACTTTAAAGCAGCTGTTTGTTTCAAGTCTCTCCAAGGCCTGGCACCAAAGTACATCTGTGACATGTTCGAGCCATATGAACCAACTCAGACTTTGAGGAGCATGAAGGACGCAGCGTTATGCAGCTATAATTGTTTCAGTATCTCCAGAGTGTTTCCTCTGGGGGAGGCCTCTGCACTGAGGAGGTCAGCTGTGGGGCCTGGAGCCTCTTCTCTCTGGGTCGTCCCCTGTGGCTGCAGGTGTGTGCTCCTGGTGCAGATGGCTCCTCAGATGGTGCTTACTTACCTTCACTCAGCCTCATGTTTTATGTCCCTATAGTTAATCAATAGTGTGTGTGACTGTTGTCTGCAGGTGTTGAGCCAAAGATTTTTTTAATGAAATGTGAATAACTTGTAACTTTATGCTTTTGTATGAAAAGCAATTCTACAGATGGATTCTTAGCTGTATCGTTTTCACAAATTTCCCTTTTTAAAAATCATCATTTAGAGCAAATATCGACATCTATGACTGATGTGAGGTTGACATTGAAAAAGAGACCCCAGACTGACTATGACTTTGTGGTAGATGCTGCCACCTGGTGTTGGAGATGGGAACTTCTCACGCAACATGAGTTACTGCAAAACTATATCTGAATTAGTTACAATTTAAAAATCAATTCATGAAATGTATTAAACTATGTTGTAAAACCCAGTGAAGAGGTTCCCTAAAATAAACTACCGTTCTGCTGAGTTGCTTTAGTCATTGATTCTTAATTGACCTTAAATATAAACGTTTTGTATCAAATAACAGGGAGTTATGTTAAATTCAAGATCAAGACCAGATTCTAATCCTTTTATAGACCATAGTGGTCTCGCAGCTGAACGAGTGCTTCATGTCACATCATAAACAAACTGAAAAAACACTTGCTTTGAAAGATATCATTCGTTTAATTTAAGCCAGCTGGTGCTGCATTAACAAAACGTACAGCCTGCTCACAATTAAAAAAACTTTTTACATAAACACTCACTTAATTCATCCCATATATATTACACAATGAAAAGAGAACTTCTTCCCTTTGGATCGAATGATATGACAGTTTAATACCAGTTTGAGGTCGTCAAGTTTGTGGTCAGGTGAGGATCTGCTCTGAACAGATGCTACAGGTTTCACAAAGTCGAGGAACCCCCAAATGAGCGTCTGGGGATTAGTTTCAGTTTCCAAAAGAGGGTACATGTTCGGATCCAAGCCCACAACTGTACGGGAGCTAACTCTTTAACCTCAAGACCTCTGTGAAATGGTCTCGTGTGGATTTATTGTCCTTTTTTCTTTCTTCACAACCATCCAAAAGAAAATACAGCTCCTGTGTGGTCCTGGGGCACAAGCCACTAGAAATTATGGAATGTGTTGAATGTAAAAAAAGAAAACAAACTAGAGAAGAAGACATTTCCTTGCAACAGCAGAAACGTGATAAAAGGAAAACTTCTATCAGAACGGTTCATCGGCTGCTACTGAAGCCAGAAAAAAAAAAAAAAATTCAGCCCAGAGCGTCGGACAACAATCACAACCTCGAGCCGCGGTATCTGCCTTAAACCTGGAGAAAAAGCAGCCCGTTTAAACTAGCATTTAAGCAGGTTTCAAGTTAGCTTTGAAGTCTAATAGGCCTGTCAGAAAGCAAAACGAACAAAAAATACAGGGTCTTAACATCGGACTAGTGTCACTTGTCGTTACATGAATATTTCACAAAGTGCAAAATTTCACTTACATATGAATAATAATACATAACTAATTATACAGCTTGATCTATTATATAACAATGGTAATAATTCTTCAACCACCATCCTACCAGAGTCCCCACACACACACACACACACACAAATTCCCACGTGTTCCCAGCATGCTGTGCGTCCATCGATTTTTTTTCAATTGACAAGAGAAAATTTATGGCCTTTTGAATTCTGACAGTACACATTTAAACAGCGTGCATCTAGTTAAAATATATATTAATTTACCGTTAAATAGGACACCTCTCGTACAGTCTTGCATGCACTGTTGTGAGCATTTTGTGAGCAAGTTGTTCAAGAGAGAGAGAAAGAGGTTTGGGGACAGAGCCGCTCGGATTGGAACCTTCCAACTGTAAACGCTTGTTCCCGATGAGCCCAAAATAAAGACGCTCCCAGTGTGAGATTCTTTTGCGTCCGTTTGAATGAATGAATGTAACTTGGTGTTTCTGTATGATGTGAAACCTGGAGTCACCAAAATGTCTTCAGCGACCCTGTCATCACTGAAGTTTTGTTCCAAGCTTTCGCTGTCTGTTCCTAAACACACAAAAAAAGACAAAGAAATGTTTATTATTATTATTATACTAGAACTCCCAGAGCAGTCAACTTGACGGGTTTTAGTATAATGACTCGGCGTGTGTACATCTTTGGTCTTCGTAACTTTGACTTTTTCTGTCTCTTTATGTAGGTAATGTGAATAAATGTGTAGGTAAATGTGAGCAGTTGGTTACCATAGTTTCCATAGCAACACACTGTTTGCTTGCTAGCATTTAGCATTTGGTAGCCTGTCAACAATTTTTGCAGTATTTCAAGTCATATTCTCCAGTCTTAGCTCTTTGTATAAGTGAGTTAAAGATCAACTAAACACCTGCCCAGCCTTACTCCGCATGAATATTTGAAAAATTTCTCTAAAAAGGGACTGAGAACGGGGACTGAGAGTTGGGCGTGGTCTGGGCTTGTCACACAAAAAGAAACAAAGTTGTCATTGCTGCTTAAAGCAATAGTTTACACAATAGAAAGTCTCATTCCGCCCTTGATTCCACACTAAGATAATTGTAAAGCTACACATCTGAACCACGGAGTTATCTAAGCAGCAGCTGAGGTCAACTGATGTAATTTCCTTTTAATCCACTAGATGTCGCCAGAACACTCCAACCTGCTGCTGGTGCGTGCGAGAGTTGATTGGTTTTATATCACCGGCGCAGACAGACGCACGTCACACATACAAACTGACGTCAGCCATCACTCTACAGCAGGGGGGCCATTCATACGCCAAGAGATTTGACACGGCCCGCGGCTCATTTATGTAAAATGATCATAATAATGTTTTTAAAAAACGCACCGCAAGGCTGCGCTCAGCAGAGCGGTGCTGAAGGAATATCATCTTAAACTACGAGACTCGGCGAAAAATACAGCACTTTGAGCGGAGAATTGAGAAGACAGAAGATAAACATGGGTGGCCCTGACGACACAGCAGTCTGTTTGTGCCCAGAGCAAGAGGTTAGTTCTGCTGCTGTAAAGGGAAGCTACCTGTGCTAAGAACATTAGCATTAGTATCGCAGCCGCACAATGAGAGAGAGTTTGTTAAAACTCTCATACAGACTGCAGACATGGTCTGAGAAACCACACGCTGTCACCAACATGTTGCCATTGATAAGAGACTGATGTTACTGATGTCGCATATTCATTTGTGGTGTTACTGAAACTATCACAGTAGATAGTTGCTGGTTCTGCTGTTAGTAAGTAAGTAAGTAAGTAAGCTTTATTTATATACCGCCTTTCACAGACCAGAGTCACAAAGCGGTTTACAATTGTTATTATTTTTGGGCATTTGTCTCTCACTCCACACAGAGATGGGAGCGGGGTCGCCGAACAGGAGGCACATGCCAGACCTATTGTGCATGTTTTTAGTGGTAGGGGAAACCGGAGTACCCGGAGGAAACCTACGCAGACACGAGGAGAACATGCAAACTCCACTCAGAAAGACCCTGGTCCGGCCGGGATTCGAACCCAGGACCTTCTTGCTGAGAGGCGATAGTGCTATCCACTCAGCCACCGTGCCGCCCGAATATATATCTGCTGTTGTGTTGAACAGTGTGGACTGGTCCTGCGCCTGGTACCGACGGTAAAAGCAGGTGTAGTGACAAAGCAAATGGGGGTGATGATATTTGGACATTTGACTGTATTTTACACAGAGACACTGCTGCAGTCGTTAAGAATGGATCACGTTATGGAAGTTGTTTTGTTCATTTCAACTGAATCATGGTCAGTTTGATGCTTTCTCTCTGATAATAACATAACCATGGACCTTACCACACTGAAGATGGTTAATGTGACAATAACATAACCATGGACCGTACCACACTGAAGATGGTTAATGTGACAATAACATAACCATGGACCTTACCACACTGAAGATGGTTAATGTGATAATAACATAACCATGGACCTTACCACACTGAAGATGGTTAATGTGATAATAACATAACCATGGACCTTACCACACTGAAGATGGTTAATGTGACAATAACATAACCATGGACCGTACCACACTGAAGATGGTTAATGTGACAATAACATAACCATGGACCTTACCACACTGAAGATGGTTAATGTGATAATAACAACTAACCATGGACCTACCACCACACTGAAGATGGTTAATGTGATAATAACATAACCATGGACCATACCACACTGAAGATGGTTAATGTGAAATAACATAACCTTACCTTACCACACTGAAGATGGTTAATGTGACAATAACATAACCATGGACCTTACCACACTGAAGATGGTTAATGTGACAATAACATAACCATGGACCGTACCACACTGAAGATGGTTAATGTGATAATAACATAACCATGGACCTTACCACACTGAAGATGGTTAATGTGATAATAACATAACCATGGACCTTACCACACTGAAGATGGTTAATGTGACAATAACATAACCATGGACCTTACCACACTGAAGATGGTTAATGTGACAATAACATAACCATGGACCTTACCACACTGAAGATGGTTAATGTGATAATAACATAACCATGGACCTTACCACACTGAAGATGGTTAATGTGATAATAACATAACCATGGACCGTACCACACTGAAGATGGTTAATGTGACAATAACATAACCATGGACCTTACCACACTGAGGATGGTTAAGCTGAGGTGCTGTGTTAAAGTGCTTTTTTCTATCTACCTACTTTACCTTTGTGAGCAAGTTTTCTCTGTAATGAGCCTTAAAACAAAGCTAACATACAAATATTAATATAAATATTGTGAAATACCATTTTCAATGTAATATTGTACACACAATACATTATTTTCACTATGAAAAACTCACTGTTACATTTAAGTTTGTAACAGAAAACTGAGTATTAAAAGGACAGTGTTTTAAAAGAAGTTTTAAATAAATGTGTTTTAGAGCACAAAAAGTTGGACTTTGTACCGGTTTTGGGTATTTTTGTAGAGCATCTTCTTGTCCGGGCCATTTGAGATCCAATTAGGTTGAATGTGGCCCCCGGACCAAAATGAGTTTGACACCCCTGCTCTACAGCCAATGAAGAGGCCAGGCATGAAATTCAAATGTAGTGCCTGCTGAGTGCTGCTGCAGCTGTCAAAAGCCGTGCATACACTGTAAAATACAGCTGCAAAGGACACGGAGGGGCAGGGCTATGGGAAGACCAGAGAGAGACAAAGAGCAAAAACAGAGAGAGGCACCAGAGAAAGACTAGAGAGCGAGAGACCAGAGAGAGAGCAAAACCAGAGAGAGACCAGAGACACCAAAGACTAGAGAGAGAGCCCAGAGACCAAAGAGAGACCTGAGAGAGAGTGAAACCAGAGAAAGAGACCAGAGAGAGACCTGAGAGAGACCAGAGAGAGAGTGAAACCAGAGAAAGAGACCAGAGAGAGACCAGAGAGAGACCAGAGAGAGACCAGAGAGAGACCAGAGAGAGACCAGAGAGAGACCAGAGAGAGAGTGAAACCAGAGAAAGACCAGAGAAAGAGACCAGAGAGAGAGACCAGAGAGAGAGACCAGAGAGAGAGACCAGAGAGAGAGACCAGAGAGAGAGACCAGAGAGAGAGACCAGAAGGTAACCATCATTTTATACTAGCGGTATTAAATGATGTTTTATATGATTTTGTACACACGTAACACGTATACACGCAAACAAAACACACACAAAAATACACACAACAGCGGAGGCAGCGTAATAGTGAGGCACCCCCTTAAACAATAACAAGTTTCGTATGTATTACCTGGCTTCTGAGCGCGTCACTGTGTACTCAAACCAGAGGATGTTTGGAATCAGGCTTGTGTCTCGCACCAGGAAGTATTCTGACAGTGGCCTGTAAAGAAAAAAACATTAGGACGGTGGAGCAGATCCATCCCTGGTGACGAGAAACGGGAGCAGAAATGAAATGAGGCCATGTCTTCTTACCACGCTGCTATTTTAGGGAATAATGGTGTCAGCACCTCTTGCGTGAAGAAGAACCATAATATACCGATCACAGCACCAGCGACGGCGCCGTAGAACACCTGCCCCCACGTGTGGTACAGAAGATACACCCTGAGGAAGAGAAACCGTGGAAATGAACACACTGTGACATACCTGTGTTCACTGTGTCTATATGGTAATGTGTGTGTGTGTAAATGGTAATCTGTGTGTATATATATATATATATATATATATATATATATATATATATATATATATATATATATTTGTGTATGTTTATATGGTAGTGTGTGTGTATGTTAATGTGTGTGTATATTTATATGATAATGTGTATGTATGTTTATATGTCAATGTGTGTGTTAATGAGTGTATATGTTTTTATGGTAATGTATGTGTGTATATACAGTGCCTTGCGAAAGTATTCGGCCCCCATTGAACCTTTCAACATTTCGGCACATTTCAGGCTTCAAACATAAAGATATAAAATTAAATTTTTTTTGTCATGAATCAACAACAAGTGGGACACAATCGTGAAGTGGAACGAAATGTATTGGATAATTTAAACTTTTTTAACAAATAAAAAACTGAAAAGTGGGGCGTGCAATATTATTCGGCCCCTTTACTTTCAGTGCAGCAAACTCAATCCAGAAGTTCAGTGAGGATCTTTGAATGATCCAATGTTGTCCTAAATGACTGATGATGATAAATAGAATGCACCTGTGTGTGATCAAGTCTCTGTATAAATGCACCTGCTCTTTGATAGTCTCAGGCTTCTGTTTAAAGCGCAGAGAGAACCATGAAGACAAAGGAACACACCAGGCAGGTCCGAGATACTGTTGTGGAGAAGTTTAACGCCGGATTTGGATACAAAAAGATTTCCCAAGCTTTAAACATCTCAAGGAGCACTGTGCAAGCAATTATATTGAAATGGAAGGAGTATCAGACCATTGCAAATCTACCAAGACCCGGCCGTCCCTCCAAACTTTCATCTCAAACAAGGAGAAGACTGATCAGAGATGCAGCCAAGAGGCCCATGATCACTCTGGATGAACTGCAGATAACTACAGCTGAGGTGGGAGAGTCTGCACAAATCTGGCCTTTATGGAAGAGTGGCAAGAAGAAAGCCATTTCTCAAAAGACATCCATAAAAAGTCTCTTAAAGTTTGCCACAAGCCACCTGGGAGACACACCAAACATGTGGAAGAAGGTGCTCTGGTCAGATGAAACCAAAATCGAACTTTTTGGCCACAATGCAAAACGATATGTTTGGCGTAAAAGCAACACAGCTCATCACCGTGAACACACCATCCCCACTGTCAAACATGGTGGTGGCAGCATCATGGTTTGGGCCTGCTTTTCTTCAGCAGGGACAGGGAAGATGGCTAAAACTGATGGGAAGATGGATGGAGCCAAATACAGGACCATTCTGGAAGAAAACCTGTTGGAGTCTGCAAAAGACCTGAGACTGGGACGGAGATTTATCTTCCAACAGGACAATGATCCAAAACATAAAGCCCAATCTACAATGGAATGGTTCACAAATAGACGTATCCAGGTGTTAGAATGGCCAAGTCAAAGTCCAGACCTGAATCCAATCGAGAATCTGTGGAAAGAGCTGAAGACTGCTGTTCACAAACGCTCTCCATCCAACCTCACTGAGCTCGAGCTGTTTTGCAAGGAAGAATGGTCAAGAATGCCAGTCTCTCGATGTGCAAAACTGATAGAGACATACCCCAAGCGACTTGCAGCTGTAATTGCAGCAAAAGGTGGCGCTACAAAGTATTAGCGCAAGGGGGCCGAATAATATTGCACGCCCCACTTTTCAGTTTATTTGTTAAAAAGTTTAAATTATCCAATACATTTTGTTCCACTTCAAGATTGTGTCCCACTTGTTGTTGATTCTTGACAAAAAATGTAATTTTTATATCTTTATGTTTGAAGCCTGAAATGTGGCGAAATGTTGAAAGGTTCAAGGGGGCCGCATACTTTCGCAAGGCACTGTATGTGTGTAAATGGTAATGTGTGTGTATGTTAAGAGTACGAGTGTATATGTTAATGTGGTAGTGTGTGTATGTTAATATGTGTATATATGACAATGTGTATGTATGTTTATATGGCAGTGTGTGTGTGTGTGTGTGTGTAAATAGTAATGTGTGTGTGTATGTTAATGTTTGTATATGTTTATATGGTGATGTGTGTGTGTATATGTGTGTGTATACTGTATGTAAGCAAGTATGTATTTGTCATAGTATTCACCGTGTATGGAGTGAATGAATAATGTAAAGTGTCTTTGAGTGTCTAAAAAAAGCGCTGTAAAAAAAACCTATGCATTTTTATTATTAATTTCATTATGTTATTTTATTAATTTTTTTTTTTATTTACACTTTATGAAAAAACATGTATGAAACCTAAGTTGAGGTACAGAGTCAAACATTTCAGGTGAAGCAAACGAGGAAAACGTCTTTTTTTTTCTTTCAAAGTATCTAAAAAAAGAGAAAGAAAGGGACATACCTGCTGTAAGACACTAGCAACGCAATGTTCAACAGAATGATTGACAGGATGTGCCTCCACAGCAGGTCCACACAGCGGGCATTGTTTGTCTGATGCATTCTAGAAACAAAAACAACGACAAACGAAAATGAGAAGTGATCGGGACAGAGCGGAGGCATCGTACGTTTAACAGATGTACCTCAGATAAAGGAAAAGGAAGAAGTAAACAACAAAGAACCAGATGAGTTGGGAATGACTGGACGGCATTCCATACTCTGACGGCACATTGGAATGGGCTCCTGCAGAACAGAAATAGACTTTTAGAGATAAGTTTCACAATTATCTGAAAGGTTTTATGAGGGAATCACAACCAACATATAATCTATAGAGAGAAACACTGGTATAGTCTTCCTCAATATGTGAGACAGGCTTTTACTCAATGACAATGTTCAGCTGTACGTAGAACTGAGGGATTTTATCTTTTTAATGTACTGTGATTATTTATGATTTTAAGGCCATGTGGGTGTTTCTATCTTGAGTAACTTGTGTATTATGTGCTACGTCCTGGATCTACAGCCTCGGTCCTGGATCTACAGCCTCGGTCCTGGATCTACAGCTTCAGTCCTGGATCTACAGCCTCGGTCCTGGATCTACAGCCTCGGTCCTGGATCTACAGCTTCAGTCCTGGATCTACAGCCTCGGTCCTGGATCTACAGCTTCAGTCCTGGATCTACAGCTTCGGTCCTGGATCTACAGCTTCAGTCCTGGATCTACAGCCTCGGTCCTGGATCTACAGCCTCGGTCCTGGATCTACAGCCTCGGTCCTGGATCTACAGCCTCGGTCCTGGATCTACAGCCTCGGTCCTGGATCTACAGCCTCGGTCCTGGATCTACAGCCTCGGTCCTGGATCTACAGCCTCGGTCCTGGATCTACAGCCTCGGTCCTGGATCTACAGCCTCGGTCCTGGATCTACAGCCTCAGTCCTGGATCTACAGCCTCAGTCCTGGATCTACAGCCTCAGTCCTGGATCTACAGCCTCAGTCGTCGGTCTATATACCAAAGGCTATATGTCATGTCTCCTATGTGTCATGGGCTACACAAAAACATTGCCTTGCCATTTAAGTACAAACATAAACAAGTAAATTCAAGAATGTATTTTCCATTTGCAGTAAAACCACATTGGAAAAACTGTGCAAGACTACCCCATTGTGCACCAGTACGCACCAGAGCTCATGCCATGGCGCCATGTTTCCGGGGCAGTGCAAAACTATTATAAAATTACAATAGACAAAAAAAAATTGCTTGTGGAGATTTCATTCTACGGCCAACCCTCCCGGTCTCACCTGCACACGGGCGGGGCTCTCGGAATATGTGCTTGAGCAACCAGTTCGTCCCTTCATTGAGGAGGATCCCGGCGAAGAATGAAATCTGTGAGTTTACAGAACAGAGAGGAGTGTAAACAGGGGATCACATGAGCTCTGGGGATGGAGAACTCACGGTGTGTAGCTCCCGTTTGAACACGATGAGGGTCACGAAGCCCACCAGGAGAGCAATGGGCAGGAGGCTGATGTAGGCCAGCATCTGTCCTGTAAGGTCCCCTACACACACACACACACACACACACACACACACACTTATGCATCAACACGAGAGTCTGATAATGACATTTGTGCATAACGTGTTGTGTTTGTCACGTTGCACACACACAGAGAGAGACACACACACACAAAGACACATACAGAGACACACATACACACACAGAGACGCACACACACACACAGAGACACGCTCACAGAGACACCTACAGAAAGACACACAGAGACACACTCACAGAGACACACACACACACAGAGAGACACACACACAGAGACACCTACAGAAAGACACACGCTAACAGAGACACACTCACAGAGACACACTCACAGAGACACACACACAGAGACACACACACACACACAGAGAGACACACTCACAGAGACACACTCACAGAGACACACTCACAGAGACACGCTCACAGAGACACACACACACACACACAGAGAGACACACACACACACACACACAGAGAGACACACACACACACACACACTCACAGAGACACACACACACAGAGACACACACACAGAGACACACACACAGAGACACACTCACACACACACACACACTCACAGACACACACACACACACTCACAGACACACACACACACACACTCACAGACACACTCACAGAGACACACACACTCACAGAGACACACTCACAGAGACACACACACTCACAGACACACACACACTCACAGAGACACACACACACACACACACACACACTCACACACACACACACACACACACACACACACACACACACACACACGTTTTTGTTACCTGGTGGGTCCCTTTGACAGGGCCGTTCAGAATGGGACCCATAGACATAATCTTTTTTTACCAAGACTTTAAGTAATACAAAACAGTCAATAGAAACCAAACAACTATTTTAAAGGAATTTTATTTTAGATTTTGTTTTCGAATTGCAGTGATTCTATTTTTGACATAGAATTTAATGCCACTCCATGTCCGATGTCTAAGGTCATCTGGTGAGGCATTAATGCAGGCCAGGCAGTGAGACTTCCCAGGGACCTTTCCAGTCTGTATGAAAGGTGTCATGGTCTTCTCCACAGCCTTCACCTCAGATGCAGACCATGGCTTTCTTACACGTTCTAGGGAGAGAAATAAAAATATATTAGCAATATACACTCCCAGGGTGAGGACCAAGCAGCCTGGCTGTAATCCCCCACCTGGTACACTTACCAGAAGGGGCACTGCCACTACCATGGGGTGCATCTGGATGAATGGTTGAAGGTTCTCCGCTTGAAGTTTCTTTTAGCCCGTCCGTTTGTGAGAGGATCTCTACTGCTCTCCCTGTCGCACAGAAAATAAAAATACAAGTGGCCTTTAGGGGAAAAAAATCATACATATTTTAATAATATCAAGAATTACCTTCAGGCTCAATTTGTATCTGGTCGAGGCTCTTTCCTTCGAATTCCGTCACTCTTCCCTGCTCCATGGCCATCAACACTTTGCTGATTTTGGCCAGCTCCAGTGTCCCCTCTGGTAGTCTGTAATATTGCCTGTGGATGCGAATGTCATGGCCGAGGAAGTTGGCAAGTATGTCCATCTCATTCTCTTTCATATTGAGAACTGTAGACATAGTAGCTATGTGCTTTCTAAGTTTGGTTGAGGATAGCATCTCTGGATGCACCGCACCACATTCTTTGGCTACCTGGCGTAGGGAGTCTGATCCCCTGATGTGGGTGTCTGCGCCCGGGCGGGAAAAGAAGTATGGGTTATGGTCAGAGATGGAACAGGCCCTTCTGTTCTCCACCAGCACCTCCATCGAAGCAATCATTTCAGGAGTCAAAAGAACCGGCACTTTCCGACTTCTTTTCCCTTTAATTTCAATGCGTTGAAAATGCTGACACAGCTTTTTCTCAAGTTGGGACAGTCCCAGAGCAATGTCAGAATGGATCCCAGTCTTACTTCTTAAGGTAAAGGCTGTCAGTGGCATCTTTGAAACCTCACCTTCCCTTCTTCGATTGAAAATGATGACCTCACAAAGAGTCAAAACTGCCAGTTTAGACCAATGCTTAGACGTTGGCTCACTTATTAGGGTTTGCACATATTCAGGTCGACATACCTCAATATGTGCATGCATGGCTCTAACGTCCTCAGTCAGAGGGAGCAGGTCCGGAGTGTTCCACTTGGCTTGCCGGAGGGTCTGTAGGGCAGCAGAAGAAACACAGACGTCCCACCTCTTCTCAAAAAGCAGCCGGCTTCGTTGGAGGTTTTTAATAAATAGTTCATCAACACAATGCTCCATTTTTGAGTCACATTCAAGAATATCTGCTAGCTTTCTGAGGCTATGGCCGAGTTTGAGGGCCAAGGATGGAGTCTTGTATTGATTTGTTTCCTCATCATATCCAGCCACAGACCTGACTGCATCAATCACATGGTTAAAGTTGGAAGGAATAAAGAAATCCTTCATTGTTTTCAGTTTCCCTGCGGTTTTTGCTTCGTTAATTAACCTACCGACTTCTCTCATTTTCTGCCTAATGTAATCATGCTTTGTCTTATCATGCCCGTGTTTTAAGTACAGGTGCTCTCCGAGTCTCAGAATCCCCTTTTCTGCTTTGACAACACCCGTGACCTCATCCTGATGCATTGCCGAAATTAAAGACCACAGCTTTTTGCTGATGCCCTCCGGTACAGGCTGGGCTAGGGAGCAGAGGGACTGGACCCTACTTCTACCTGGTTTAGCCTGGGCATCTTTCTGTGAAAGCCGGCACCTGGCCACATGCCTCCACAGCGACTTTCGCTTAAGCAATGCCCCACAGTCTATACAGTGCAAAAACTCACTGGATTTAACTGGGGAATTTGGCTGTTTAGCTGGGACTAAAGTTCCAATGCCGGCCTTTAAAACCTCAAAATTGTGCTCACGGTTTCCACTATTCCTGATCAAATCAAACTGAAGTTTACGTGCTTTAGATTTCACAGGTAGAGCCAATGCTCTGGCTACGTCACTTTCATTTCCATGTTTTCTAGTCAAATGACGGGACATTTTGTGGCAGGACATTGAACAGTAGAGGCAGAAGTGTCTCTTGCTGTATACTCGCCCCCCATTTTTCTTCTTTTGCAGCTGCATGATAACAATCTTATTTGCCTTTGGTTCGTCACTTTCCGAGTCTTGAAGAAAAGTGTTTTTGATTTTTCTTTTTCCATACTTTTTTACAGGTTTCTTCTTGACAGTTAAATCGTCAGAATCTGAGTCGACTTCATCAATTAGGGACTCTTGACTAAGCTGCACAAACAACAAATAATTTGTAATCATTCTATATAACAATTTGAAGTCATGACTTGTAGTCAGCACTTACCAGTGGTTTGTAAGCGTGCGCTTCAGTGTGCTCCTCCATGATTTCTTGCAGCCTAATGAACCCAACACTTGCACCTTTTTCTAGCCTGACACCTGATTTCCTCTGTTGTGCTGCTCCATGATTGGCTCCAGCCTGCTGGACTGAAATTGCCCCAGTGTGCCCCTCCTTGATATCCCGCAACCCACCACCAGGGTTCCGACACATAACACACTTTTTTCAGGAAAGTAAACCTCCAGGGGTCCTTTCCATATTTTTACAGAGACTGCATAAGGACCGTTAGAAAAGCATTACCCATTGATTATTAAGCTTGGACCAGTGGGGTCCGGTGTTCGGGCCCCACCACGTAAAACCAGTCCCCATGACGTGAGTGGAATCTCAGGTTATGGAACCCACCAGGAGTTGAAAACAAGTGCACACACACACACACACACACACACACACACACACACACACACACTCACAGAGACACACTCACAGAGACACACACACACACACACAGACACACTCACAGAGACACACTCACAGAGACACACAGACAGAAACACAAACACACACTTAATTGTGAACAAGTTTAACAGCACAACATGACAACATTAGTGACTACATGAGGATCCAGAAGGTGTTGTAGACCTGGAGAGTGTGAAAGTGTGTATAGAGTGTGTTTTCAGGTGTGTTGCACTTTAGTAAACTCTACATTTAATGGAATCAAACAATAGCTCAGAATGAAGGAAATGCAGAAGCTAGCTAGCCTTATTGTGGTCATAACGTGCAGACTGCGCATGCGTGTGAGCGTCTCTCTATTTGGCAGTCTCGTGCACTTTGTTGTCTGCATTGTGTGGACGGCAATTACGAATGCACACTGCCATCTTTTTAAAAATATATACATACAAATATATCTATACTGTTGGGTGATGCAGTGAATGAGATCGCACTATTTGGCAACAACAAGGAAGGCTCGGATCACTCTATATCCGCAAAACAGAGCGATCCGTGGCTCCAGCTCCCGGTGAGAGCGGAGGACCATGACGGGAAGATAATGTCTGACTTACCATCAGCAAACTCGATATGTGTCAAAGATATACAGCGCCATCGAGGTGGTGCCGAGCAATGTTCTTCCAACGCCATCTTACCCCGGACACAACCGGGCAGAGAGCGGCCCGCCCCGGGATACGCTGCGGCCAATAGACGGAAGCCCACAGACAACACGCTGCACTGACGCCCTCCATAGACAGGACTAATGAATGAACAAAGCCAGGATTTTGTCTATTACTGACATTTACTGAATTTTCTGCTCAAATAAAACCCAAGAGCAATGATGAGGAGGATAGTTCATTTTACAGACTTCATCAACATACTAGTATTTTATTTATTTATTTTATACTTTATTAATCTGACACAGGAGAAATTTACAAGTCACATTTGGCAAGGATAGGAACCCTCAAGATTGTGCAAAAAGTAAGAAATGTGCAACATGTTCATGCAGGACATATTATGTACTAAAAAGTGGCAATTAGAAAGTGGAAATCAAGAAACTGTCAATAGAAGGTTTTATCAGACTTAATGCAGTGACTTAAAGTGACTTGTTGTACAGTCTGATACAAGTATGTGTTATATATATATATATATATATATATATATATGTATATATATATATATATAATCTGTATTAGACTGTACAGGTTTTTTAAGTGTAGAGTTGTGCTATACTTTTAGACAAGGCAAGTTTGTTTAGCACTGTTCATACAAGGAAATTAAGTGCTGAACAAAAGGAAAGAAAACAAAGCATTAACATCATACAGTACATTCAGAATAGCAAAGATACAATCCTGGAGTTGTATGCTCAGCCTAACAGAACTGTTTTTAACCTGGATTTGAATATTGTCAGAGAAGAAGCCTGTCTAACATTTTCAGGAAGAAAAATCTGAAAGGTTGTCTTCTCGCATGTAGTTCTGACCAGTCCCTGTGCTCCTCAAACTGAGTTGGTTCGTATGCACGAACATGTCACAGATGTACTTAGGTTCAAAGCCTTGGAGAAACTTTAAAGTTCATTCTTAATATTCATTTATCTTGTGCTGTGTGCTCCTCATTCCTACTGTTCTGTAACCTGCGATGCAACACTGAAATGTCCTCACTGTGGGACCAATGGAGGATTTGATTCATAAATCCGTTGATGACACAAATCGTGTTCTTTAAAAGCACTACAGGCTGTAAACATAATCTCAAAAGGTCTGGTTATAAATGTGGATTACTGTCATTATTCGGCCACGAGGCTTCGCTGAAGAACAACATGATACAGATGGACTTAAATTATTTTATTTTATAATGTTGATTTGACAGTTTCAAAGACGGCACATAAGGAAAATACTTTTTTGTATAACAAAAAATAGGATTTAATGTGGAAAAAAACATCTGGAACTGAAAAATGATAATAAATTAAAGGCAAAGATGTTCTAAGGATTACGCTGCTCTGCATTACTTCCAAAAACAAATAAAGGCAAAGTCAATCAAAGAGTGTCTCTGTTTAAGGAGAAAAGGATATTTTACAAATGCAGTAAGAGTTTTATTCGCTCACATGCAGAGGTGCAAGGCCAGAGAGAGGATATGATAAAACTACATTTTCTATACATTTACTTTTTCCTATCATTTTGCAAACACAAACTTTGGATATGAAGATAGTAGTTATGCAAATACTGAAGGCATCCCCAAGATGGCATTCTCCCATAAAGTGCAACAATGTTTAAAGTTGAAGGCATTCTCACACAGCCTTGAAGCGATTTGGGTGAAAAGAACAATGTGTTTAAAATATCTGCTAAAAAGACAGAACTGATGCCTCCAATTATCATTAAAAATCTTTTTAAGACTGTCTCAAAATGTGTTTCTTCAGCCAGAGGTTTGTTTTAAGAATTTACCAACCTTCATTATCGTCACGTTTGCAGAAATTATATTCAAATCACTAAAGCTGAAGACTTTGGAGGTAGATGTATCACAAAATATCATATTGTCGTTTGCCATAATTACAAGAAACACATACATTTTTAAACGCTCGTGTCTGTGCTGAATATTTCACCCCTCCTCTGTTTATATCAGTCACTTTGTTACTACACCCCTGGTTCGGAAAAGCTAAACTATTAATTTTTAGGAAGAGTTTAATTTAAACAAGGTCATAACGTTTACATACAGGGTAGAATTTACTCGTTTTCCTTTTTAAATAAGGCAGCACAGTTACAACTAAACAATGTGTCTTACCCTGCAGACTGCTGCCATAGACCGTGTATTAGGAGTGGACTGACGCCGTTTGAACTTAAGCTAGCTGGACCCAATTTCCTTAAATGGGTATTTGTTCCAATGGCATTAGCCTAGTGCCATAACAAAGGCAGACATGTTGCTAGGATGGTTGCTAAGGCAAGCTGGACTTCCCCCCAAGAACGATCGGTCAATCCTTATACGCCTCATATCAACATTTCTAAGACGATATCAAAATATAAACTCCAGGAGCAGCGCTAAACCACAGATTGGGACACTAACGTTTACCGAGCTGTAGGAGTTTACATTTCAGTAGAAGTTGATAAGAGCCAGAGCGAGTTGGAGCAAAACTTTGTCCATGAGCACGTCCATATTGGGCTTCATTGAGCTAGCGGGTTAGCATTGTCTATCTATATACAGTCCATGGCTGCAGCTCGGCCTGAGCTCAGGTTCATCTTAAACTGAGGCTTAGGTAGAGACCAAAATTGGATTTCACTGGCAAATAAAAAGGCAACATTTCGTCCTCATCATAAAAACAGTTAAGGATTCATTTGTTCATGTTTAACCTTTTGTCTAGATATGCCATGTTTTTAAATCATACAGGAAAAGTCTATTTTTTTCTCAACATAGTCCCCCCCAGTAGCCTTCTGGCCCGTCTCATTTACCACAGAAAACTGGCCATTTTAGGGCTGTGCAGACTTTCTATTGTGTTCTAACTGCTTTTAAGAAAATGACAACTGAGAGTGTTGAAAACAGACATTGCTCAATGATCATAAATTCATCCACTGCCGGGTAAGTGCTGAAACCCTTTAAAAATATATCTCACTCTCCCAGAAGACAGATCTATACAATTGAAGCCTTTTGACCGTTTGTGGCGGACTCTCGTAACCTCACATTATCAGTGAAGGCCTTAAGTCTCCTCTGGGTCTCTGGGCAGGGCACCATTGAGCTCCAGGAGACTTTCGATTCCCAGATACCCCAGAAGGATCTCACTGCGGCGATGAGACAGGCTCAGAATGTCCTCGGCCAGGCAGGAGACAGAGGTGAAGCGGACTTTGTCATGGTCAAACATGTCCTTCAGATATTGGACGATTTGTTGCTGCAAAACAAGGAAAAAATACATTATTTTGGGATAATTCAAATCAACGCGTTTTTGTATAGCCCTAAATGATCAACCAACAAAACTCTGTCTCTGTTCTGGTTCTGTTTCTGTGTAATGATTGCTGTGCTGTTATTGTGTGTTCTGAATACTGTACTGAACATCTGCTGGAGGTACATAAGAACACAAGACAACAAAATTATCTAAAATAAATAAACTAAACTATGAGATGAGAGAACGAAACAGGGTTAGAAGAGGGAAAATGCAATAATAACAAACACATAGAAGCCCTTTAAAAGTACTTAAATATCCTGGATCATCACTGTCCTTAGACCCTTCTACATGGTTTTTTTTGTTATGCTTATATTTCTTCTTGTTTGTGTGTCTTGCTTTTTATTGTCCCTAAAAAAAACAACAAAAAACAATCTTGACCAATCTTGGAGCGTCTCATACAAAGCCCATGAACAGGACATGGATGAATAAGGACTTATTTTTGATGAGTTCTCACATCAAACCTGCATTTCTGTTAAAACCACTCACCTTAAAAATGGTGCAGACTTCACTTAGATGTTGCCTTGGCCCTAAAAACCCAAACGCTAAAACGGGGCTAACGTGTTCCGATATGGCATAGAAGTGTGAGATGAACCCGTCGGGAACCTTAAGAAAAGCACAAGTGTTAAACAGATTTTTTTTTTTTAAGTAAACCAAATATAGGTACAGTACTTTTAGCAACTTTAGTGATTTCTGCAGCCTATAGCGAAGCGGCTAATGCATGTATGTTTATTTTGTTAGCGCGCCGCCACGGCACAGGAGTGGATTTGGACATAGGTCTAAGTAAGTAAGTAAGCTTATCTGTATAGAGCATTTCACAGACCAGGATCTAAAAGCGCTCCACACATTAAAACACATAAAATACACATTCAAGTCAGATTTAAAAACAAAAACACAGAAGAACAGAGGCCTATGAACAGTGAGGCGAGAAAGCTTGTCAAAACAGCCTTCACTGCAGCCCCCCCACTCTCTGGAACTCCCTCCCTCAACCAATCAGAAACTCAGACTCTCTACAGAACTTTTAATCTCTTCTCAAAACCCACCTGTTTCAGCTTGCCTTTCCTCAATTTTGTTTTTCAATTTTTATTTCTATGTGTTTTGTAAAGCGACTTTGAGTGTCCAAAAAAAGCGCTATATAAGTTTGATGCATTATTATTATTATTATTATTATTAAACAAATTTGTCTTAAGTTGGGACTCAAAATCATCCACAGACTCTAACATACGCACATCAGCGATCTCCATTCCTGCTTCTTGTGCGTTTATGTGAACAGCAGGAAGGAAGTGGCCACAAGGAAATGCAGGGAAATACACAAGACTTGTTTCATGGGAACAGGGCTATTATCAGTAACAGAGTTTATGGTCTTGTTATTTTGATATTTAAGTTTTAGTAAGGTCAGAGTTAAGTAGGAATGGGACACATTTATTGTCAAAATAGACTGGATTTACCAGAGTACTTTGATAGTCACAAGTGAACAGTGCATCTATACGTCGCCTTTAAAAACACCTCGTCATTAAATCATGTTGTGTCCAGTCTCCATCAGCTGTCAGTCAAAGGCATAAAGGAGGATTTTCTACTTCTGGGTGGATCATAAAGACTATTGGTCCTGCTAATTGTCAATCATTCTGGTGATACGTGCTCATCAAATAAGACCAGAGTTTTGTTAAAAAAGTGGAGAGGGCGGTTCTTTCCTAAAATTTGGGAAAATCCTCTTATATTCCTGTGGCTTTTATATGTGGGCAACGATTACTTTCTTTTGATATTTAAAGCTGGACTAACTCACTTTGAGATTTCGAAGCAGCGTTTCAAAAGTAAGCGCTGGCGAAGCTACCACCCCCCACTACACAACTCCCACTCAGCCTGTGCTCATGTGCTGTTGTTTACGGAGCTCGCGTCTAACAATATGGATCGCAAATTTGAACGTGGATAGCGTGACCATAGAATGACTGAACCGGGAAGCGCGGAGGAACGAGACTTTCTTTTGGCTGTTTCGCTGAGTAAGCAGTAACCGGTGACAAAGACACGGGAAGCTTCAGGTTAGCCTCCGCCGCTTGTTTACCTCCGCTGTCTGTGCTAACGAGAGACCTGTGGCTTTTCTCAAGAAAGTGGTCGCCAGTGGTCCGCTGTGATTGGTCACAATCTGGACCCGAAACACATTCTCTTCCGCGTTGCACAAACACTCGATCTAAAATAAAATGACTCTCCACTACAAACCAGCGCTACTTATTCTTCAAAAGGGTTGCATGGATATGGATTGAATTTCCCTATCAAATACAAAAATAAAGTGAGGTTGTCCAGCTTTAACTGGTGCGGCTTATATACCGGTGCGCCTAATAGTCCAGCAAGCATTGTAGGTATAACCAAAAAAGCTCACCATGAGTAGGCGTCTCTTGGCTTTTAAGACGGACCAACAGGCAGTGGCTAAAGCCTAAAGAACAGCAACAACCCACAGTTAGAATCCAGTGGAAGAGGAAGGAAGCAACACGACAGTTTTAACACAGGAATGTCGCTACCGTCTCTTTGAAGCTGTCCGACAACCAGCGGTTCCGGAGCACGGCCACGACGGACGAGGGAGGGTTTTCCAGGTCTTCAAACGCGTCCATCAGGATGAAGTCTAACACGATGTCAAAGAAATTCATGTTGACCACCTCAAGAAAGACACACAGGTATGGATGAGGTTAAGTTTAAGGGGAAGAGTTATTGTGACTATGATTGAAAAGTAGTAGTTAGTAATATCTTCAGCCTTAGATCACATGTTTTCAAAGATCTTATACATTTTACAATAAAAAAGTAAAAACTAAACTGTAAATATTATGCATTTTAGTGCTAAATAATGCCTGACCAAAAGGGTTTTAGGCTGAAGTCAAGAATGATCCTGCCGAACCCTTTCTACCACTTCATTGTATGTGCACAGATGACACGTTCTCATATGTGGGCAACAACGATGGCAACATGTAGCACAGCACTTCAACAGTCAGATTTATTAAGCATAATCTGAAAAAGTAAGAGAAAAGTAAAAGAAACTTAAACTCACTCCACGACCCTCCAGCTCCATCTTAGTGACAGGCCACGTTTCTTCTCTTTTAGTGTAAAGCAGCATATCTTCATAGCTCTCTAAAAACGCTTTAGGGCTCTGCGTTGGGGAAAAACAAGTAACAGGATGTAAATAATGACAGAAGACCATGCACTGGATATAAACAATTACATATATATCATAATAATTTACTGATATGACAGAAGACCATGCACTGGATATAAACAATTACATATATATCATAATAATTTACTGATATGACAGAAGACCATGCACTGGATATAAACAATTACATATATATCATAATAATTTACTGATATGACAGAAGACCATGCACTGGATATAAACAATTACATATATATCATAATAATTTACTGATATGACAGAAGACCATGCACTGGATATAAACAATTACATATATATCATAATAATTTACTGATATGACAGAAGACCATGCACTGGATATTAACATGTGTAATGAAGCACTGACCTTGTTTGCCTTCACCATTAACCCCGCAATCATTTGTTTTCCTGTTTCCATGAAAAAGGTTCGGTGACTTTCGTCCATCAGAAGCATCTATTCAAACATTAGACCGGTCAAACTTTGCTTGTATTGACAAAGACGCACATCAGAGAAAAGCAGCAGAAGTCAGTACCTGGAACGCTTGTCTCACACAGTGGAGTTTGGCGAGAAAGTCTTGGTCACTGTAACATTCCAGTATTTCTGTCCTGTAAAACACGATCAGAGTTCAACAGGAAAGCAAGACCATAATGTATTGTACAAATATCTCAGGGAATTTAGAATGTGTACGTTTCTGTTATCAAACAACGGACAAGTTACGGACAGATATTTATCAAAAATTCAGTAAATCTCAGAATTTGAACCAGGAACAAGTGACGAGATTTAACAGGATTTCTGAATGATGCAATACTTTTATTAATCTATTGTTTGATCATTCAACAAAAAAACAACTATTATTGACTTTTTCCTCAGAGATCAGGGTTCAATAAATAATACTTCTCCCTTTCAAGCATCAGTGTGTAAGTTATTCTATGTGTTATTTTTATAATGGTTTTTTTCTCTTTTTGTGGTCTTGGAACATTATTTGCTTGAATAATTAAATAAATAAAAATGATTCGGATCACTGTCTGGATCCAGGAGTTCTTTTGAGAAATGGAACGATTCTAAAACTGCTTTTCCAGTTGAATCAGGACAACTGTATTTGAGCGGATTATTCACCGGCTCTGGATTGTAGTTTACCAGAAGAAAAACACTGGTGCAGATGGAGATGTGGTCTTTTTGCTTTGCTTGTTGTAATTCTTTGTAGGTTTTCAGTTAAAAAATAAAAATAAATTTGGATTCGAGGAGTTCTGTGGTATTTTCGCACCTTCTTCAAAAAAAATCTTCTAACAAGTGTTGGATTTGTTATGCACATTTTAAGAGGACTTTACCGTAATGTTCTGAAGGCTACAATCCCCTCCCGCACCAGAGAAATAGCATCCTCATAAAGAGCTGACGGCCGTAACGGTTGGTAGACTTGATCTAATGACAGCGCATCAAAAATCTGTAAAGATGGAAGAAATATAGATATTATCAGGATCAATAAAGTATCTATCGATCCAAATATCTATCTATAGGCAAGGCAAGGCAAGTTTATTTGTATAGCACAATTCATACACAAGGCAACTCAAAGTGCTGAACAAGATAGCATTAAAATCATAAATAATCACAGAACATTAAAACGAAAGATAAAAATATAAAATCCCTCAGTTGTATGCACAGCTAAACAGCACCGTTTTTAACTTGGTTTTAAACATTGTCAGAGAGGAGGCCTGTGTCACATCTTCAGGAAGATTGTTCCAGATTTTAGCAGCATGAATCTGAAAAGCAGCCTCCCCATGTTTAGTTCTGACTCTGGACACTAACAGGAGTCCAGTCCCTGTGCTCCTCAGAGTCCGGGCTGGTTCATATGGGACTAACATGTCACTAATATATTTTGGTGCGAGGCCATGGAGAGACTTGTACACAAGCAGAGCTGTTTTAAAGTCTATTCTCTGAGCCACAGGAAGCCAGTGCAGAGACCTGAGAACTGGACTAATATGGTCGTACTTCCTGGTTCTAGTCAGGACTCGAGCTGCTGCATGTGTGTCTGGCAAGAGCTCTGGTGTGTGTCGTCTTCTCTGTCTGGTGCACACCGGGGTAGTCTTGCACAGTTTTTCCAATGTGGTTTTACTGCAAATGGCAAATAAATGAATCTGAATCTGAATCTGCATTTTGAATGTACTGCAGCTGTTTTACAGCCTGTTTGGACAGACCTGTGAGCAGTCCATTGCAGTAGTCTAACCTACTGGAGACAAATGCATGGATAAGAATCTCCAAGTCTGCTTTAGACACTATGTTTTTGATCCTGGCAATGTTTTTTAGATGGTAAAAAGCTGCTGATGTTACTGATTTGATGTGGCTATTAAAATTTAAGTCTGAGTCCAGTATTACCCCTAGATATCTGACCTTGTTTGAAGGTTTTAGGGAGAGAGACTGTATACACTCTATACATGAAACAAAAACACCTGCAGCTCTATATTGTTGGTTGTAAATTATGACTAAAAACCTTCGATACCTCTGCAGCTGAGAAGAAAGAGTCCTCAGAGGTAACAGTCGTCGCATCTTCATCCTGCAATCTGTGAAAACTTTCTACACACGGCAAGATGAGAGTTCCTTCACTTTCTGGGGAAACAAACAGCAGATGAGTCTAAAATGTTATTATTACAGTTAAGAGGTCTGAAAACAATGCATATACACTGAAAAAAATGAAGGTAATAAACGCTTGAATGGAGTGGTTTTTTTTATCTTCATTCTGACTGTGTTAAAACAAGATTCGCCAATGGGACAAAGTCGTTTAGTCTCGTTTGAAGAACTGTTTAAAGTATAAAGAAAATGTTTTATGTCTAAGGCTTAGGAGGTTCCTTTACCAGTAAGCAGTACAAGCTTCTTACCATGTTTTGTCTTAGTAAGTAGGTAATGTTTATTTATATAGCACTTTTTACAGACCAAGGTTCCAATCATTCCACACACGGTGATGACGGAAGCGAGTCGCCGAACACACTGGCGCATCAAAGCCTCCAATCAACACCATCCATTCACTCTCTCATTTACATTCAGACCTATTGTGCATGTTTTTAAATGGTAGGGGAAACCGGAGCGCCCGGAGGAAACCTACGCAGACACAGGAGATCATGCAAACTCCTATCCACTCATTATTCATTATCTGCCATTGACGTATTTGTCCGAGACCGGTCATTTCTGTAAAACTTTCCTCAATTCGCCTTGGGATTACAGGACAACAAAACTAGCTAGCAAGAAGACGGTCCAGTCTTTCAGAATCTGGTTTCATTTTTCACATTATTCTGTGGGTCTTGAAAATCAAATCAGTCAATGAGTTAAAAGAACCTTCTAAGGCTCAAGAACTGTTGCTTTACTTTTTATTTCTAGTTGGCCATTGGAAAATCTCATTTAAAGGCAGTGAAAATGTGACATGTTTAGCCGAATTTGAGCATTTTTTGCAGTGTATCGAGTCTGCATTGTATAAAACTTCTTACCAAAGTCTGCCAACACACTATCTGCTGGAATACTGCTCCCAAAATCTTCCTGTAGATGATATGCTCTGTGTAAAAGAGTTTCCAGCTTCTCGGCAAACACTTTGCTTTGAGTTTCATTCTGTAAAAAAGTAAACACATATTTCCAGTAAGAATTGTCATTGTTTTTTTCCTCATTAACATTTTTATTAGGACAATACATTGAACAATTACACAACTCTGACACGTATAAATTCCCTTTTTGCTAAGGAAAATAGTCTAAAATCATTTTCATTAAAACATAATCTTAAAATGAAAAAACAAGAACCAACAAAAGACAAAACCAAACATAATAACGTAAAATACAGTGGATCATCAGATATTTAGCTGAAATCAGATCTGCGTGGAGCAAGGGACAACTTCCAAGCTTCCCATTGTTTATAAAATTTTGTCCAGCTCGAATCTCATGGAATCTGTGAGCTTTTCCGCTCTATAAGTTGTATGAATGGACAGATGTCAATTATTGTGTGTTGTATATATTGTGTATTGTGTCTCTTTGTGGCTAGAGGTTTTGTCCTTGTCTTGTGCACACTTGGGACTTTTGCAAACGTATTCCAATGTGGTTGTACTGCAAAAGGCAAATATAATGAATCATTTTACCTGTATTTTAAATGCTAACTCTGCCATTATAATTATTAACTCTTCGCACACTGTAAACCTGCTGTCACTTTGCCTCTGCCCTCGGACTACGGTTGAAAGTTAGCTTGTATTGTGCAAATGTCCCGGTCAAATAAACTAATAAATAAATACAATAAATGACATTGAACCGATTTTCTGGTGTGGGGACAAGAATGTTCGTGTTTTAATACCATCAGGATATTCGTAGGTAAACAGTAGTGTCTGATAATGTGTGTGAATGAGCGTGAAATGTGTGTGATTTTTTTTTTACCAGTTCTGGCTGTTCGTACACGGCTCCTCTGAGAGCGACACTGTTGTCGCTGGACGTGGACTCGGCTCCGTGACGTATGTTTAGGGCCTGCTCCCATTTTTTCAAAGCCTCTTCGAACAGCTCCATTCCTGAAGCATTACTTTGTTGCATTAAACCAATACTTTGCGTGTTGAAATATTTAACAACATATAAAGCAGAGTGTATTACCCATTAGATATAGATTCTCTGCGTTTGCATCTTCTACCATTGATCTTTCTTCTAAAACGGTCTCGCCATCCAACGTGGGTTTTGCAGACTGGTTTGGGGAGCTGGGGACTCGCATCTGAAACACAAAAAACAGGCAATTTTTTTCTATCTACAAGTTAAAAAACAGATAATGGAAAAACTGGTGGCAGATATATGGGGACTGGTGGTATGAGCAAAGGGTGGCAGCTCTGATTGCCACCCCCTGACCCAGAAATGGACTAATAAAATGGTAGAAAAATGAATGAATAATAATAATAATAATAATAATAATAATACATCAAACTTGTATAGCGCTTTCTTGGACACTCAAAGACGCTTCACATGGGGAGTAGAATACAATAATAAAAAGGGGTTTACGGAAAAGCTTGTTTGAAAAGATGGGTTTTGAGTACAGATTTAAAGTTAGATAGTGAGTCAGAGTTTCTAATGAGCAGTGGGAGTGAGTTCCAGAGGGTTGGGGCGGCAATGGCAAAAGCTCTGAATGAATGAATGTCAAAAAATTATTCAGATCTTACAGAAGCCAGGCTGTGTGAGGAGCTTGAATGTTTACTAGGAGCGAGTGAGGATATTCCACTCATCGTGTCGTTGCTGCGAGTGCTGGGGCTGATCATTTGTCTCCCCGTCGGTGGACCTGAAAAGAGCAGGAGAAAATCTTGTCAAGTCAAATTCCCTGCATAATATTAAACATGGACATGGCCTTTACTTTGGCTGTTGTACACACCACGTTTCAGTGACGAGGGTCGGCCAACTCTAATCACGGCATCGGGAATAACCACGGTCTTCTGCACATCTTTTGCTTTCCTTTTCCGCCCTCGTCGTTTCAGTTGGTGAGCGGTGAGAGCCAAGGCCACACTTCCCAAGGCGGTCGCGAACAGCACTTTTTTCAAGCTTGGGCTGAGCTTAAGTTGTGAAAACACAGACTGCAAAATGGAAGTCAGGGAAGATTATTTGTAATGACCCCTGGAATGATTTTCAGTTAATTATTACAGAAACTTAGCAGTATTGATGGTCATTTTGCTGTTAAGTAAAGTTAAAAGCTTATTTCTCAAGAAAACCACCACATAATTGAATCTGTTCGGAAATGTTAACAACAATTTCAACTTTATAGATGGATAGATAAACAAGTACTTTATTGCCAGACACAGGGGTCAAAAATTTGTTTTTCACAGCAACATTAAATATAAACCTGTACACATCTAGGACATTTAACAAAGACACACTCGCGATGACACATTTCAATTTATGATTTTAGCTCCTCATTTAGTTTCAGGATGGACTGATGGACAAAGGAAATGAGGGCAAAGATGTATTTTTTTATAGTTAACTTCAATTACATCTCTTCTTGATTTGTCAAAATAAAAAAATGTGTAAAAAGAAATAATGGTTGAAAAAAAGAAACAAACTTTTAAACAGTTTTGTCCCCAAACGAGCACTTACGTTTTTTTATTTGACCCCTGAGAAAAATGAGTTTGACACCCCTGACATATATCATAGAGGTAATAGTATGCGGGGAAACTGACCTGCCCAAAGGTAGAGTAGAGAAACACAGGGATCTCTGCGACAGTCATGGCCAAAGCGTGAGCGATGGACATCCCATCGGAGCGGTGCATTGACATGGCTGCTTCAAGCTTCAAATAACTTCACATGCAGCGAAACAAATATCTGTCTTCTCAGAGGTCCAGCACAGGGTTCACAAAGTTCACGTGGGAACTCATACTTGCTCCTTAGTCCAGCATCCTTCCTAAGAACGAAAATAAGCTTAATCATCAAACTATATACAAGAATATCAGAATCTAATTTATTTTTATTGCCGATGGAAGTAACAAACTAGCTACATTTGCTTTGGTATATGGTGAAAACAAGTTATAAATACAATTATAATACATAAATACACATAATAGATGTTTAACAGTGCAGATAATCAATGAGTGTCCAAAGGTATGATATCACAGTGACAAAGATGTATTGTAAAGTGACAGTGACGATTGTATTGTAAACAATGTCTATATTAAGTGCAATACTAATATAAAACAAAATAAACAAATGTAGAATACGTTAATATATAATGGAGGCCTTTTGCAATTACAATTTCATACATATATATATATATATATATCAATAGAGATTAGTTTTCACATTAATATAGAAGCTAGAACACAGAAGAACCAGCCATTCCATGTTCAACTAAATCAATTACTTCTCATTTTACAGATGAATAAACACATTTTAGTCGTATCTCTTGCTGTCGACACCACACCAGCTGGGTTACATTAAAACCATATTCATTGCTTTAAAACACACATTTCCCTAAAAGTGGGTTGACATTAGCTAGCATAGTGTTAGCTTAGCTCTGATCTGTCAAGACAGCAACCACCACTGTTTCAGGTTGAAATGATAAAACACTGGGAGTTAATTTAAAGTTAAAACAGTGTCACATAGTTCCCAAAGACACCAGTTTGTAATGTGGTTATGATTGATGTATGGTTTGTGTAGGATGCCAGTGACATACCGAAAGCATCCGAGACCGATGCAGGCAAAGGACATTCAGATTCAGGGGCGGACCAGCAGGGGCGGAGAAACTGAGCACACATGGTCCCAGACTGTTTACGGTCTCTGGTCTGTAATATAATACTGGGTTGATCCTTAATATATACAGTCTATGGTTGATCCCAAGACGCATTATTAAAATTTATTTGAGACGCATTTTTGCAAGGTATTTTTCAAGACAGCGAGTGGATAAAAATAATATTCACTACTTTACTTAAAAAATATTATGAAACATCGACACAAAAATTAATTCATTGTTTATACTTTGAAGGTTTAACTTGTGAACCCATAGACCACGGACAGCGTAGAAGACCCTATACAGTCTACGGGTAATATTTACAGTCCACGTTAATGACACCACCGAAAAATAGAGCGAGTCAAATTTACAAGAAAGATTGAACATTGAAGTCACCAGATGGTAAAAGTAATGTATAAACTGTATTTAAAAACAATTGAGACAAAGATACGAACATTAATTCATTGTGTGAATATTTACTTCAGGGATTTTGGTCAAATTTACAAGCAACTTTGAACTCACCACTTAATCCTGTCTCTGGTGAAAGTTATGTGGATGTCTGCTGTATTTCCGGTTTTAGTGTTGATTTCAAAATAAAATACATGATATTCTATGATTTCACTGGTGCTTTTATTGTTGTAAGCTACACCTAGCGCCATGAGAACAATAGTGGACACTTTATAAGGAACACGCTCGAGAATAATGTATTAGCGTGTAATAAACGAAATAACGGGGTTCGAGCAAAATGCTTCGTTTAAAGATTCCCAATGGCTGAAATTAACGATGTTGAGTTGTTCTTATTGAAAACATGCAACCGAGACGCCGGCGAAGATGAAATTGTTCCATTTTGTCTCACTCCCTTTTGAAGAAATTACTCAAAATGAGTATTCTGCGCATAAGCCCGGTAAAACGCCTAGTAAAGTCACAGGTATTCATGTTGTACTCACAGGCTGTAAATATGTTGTACTATGATGATCTGTATACATTAGTGATGCATTATTTGTTGTTCCCTTCAGTTCCGATGGTTATGTTTGCTTAGCCTGAGCCTTACTTTGTTATTGTGGATTGGACACATGGTCAAACGGAACACCTTTCACGTTCCTTTGCACAACCGAGGACTCAGTGGCTATGCTCGAATCTCGGAGAGCAGAAAAGACCAGGTAAGAGACCAGGCTGAGACTTTGGCACCCTCTTCTCAGAAAGCTGACAAGGTCCTTGGTTCGAATCCTGGTTAGGTTGAGTTTGCATTTCCTCCTGCCTAGGTTTCCTTCATTAGTGTTTCGGTGCTTAGGTGCTCAGGTTTCCCCCATCACAAAAACATGTTCAATAGGTGTAATCCTCCAGCTCTGGTCCTGACCAAGAACCTAAACATCTGGAGGATGGGTCATTGCTGCACTGCTCCTGACAGAGGAAACAAATGCAGGGGACACATTTCCCTACAGGGACATAAAGTGAATAACTTAACTTGACTATTCAAACAGTCTTTAAACTCTTATAGTAGATGCACTGAAATTCTGCACAGGAAACGCATTTCCTCGCTTGCATCCGCAGTCATAACTCAGAGCACGTGACCTTAATGATTGAGTATTAAACTTTTCAAATGTAAGGAAATAGAAGAATGGATAGATAGATAAATACTTCATCCCCCATAGGACAAATTCAGGTAGCCAGCAGCAGAAACACATCCATCCAAACAAACATCAATTAATACATTTTCTAAAAGTTGCAAACAGTAATAAAGTGCACATGTTAAACTTTGATAGATTTGTTTTACAGTGTTAATGCCAGAGGAGCAAATCATCTCTTAACCTTTTTACCCCTTCCCCTACAGGTCCTGGACATTTACTGTGACCGTTGTGCCTTGGTCTCCAGCTCAGGCCAGATGCTTGGATCTGGCGCTGGAGAGGAGATCGATACTAACGAGTGCGTGATCAGAATGAACAACGCGCCCACGGTGGGATACGAGACGGACGTCGGGGGCCGCACTTCGGTCCGAGTCGTGTCTCATACAAGTGTGCCCTTGTTGATTAAACATGAGCACTACTATTTTAGACAATCTGCAAATGCCACTTATGTATTTTGGGGTCCTGAGAGAAACATGAGACAAGATGGAAAGGGGAGAGTTTTCAATGCGCTTTTGAAAATTGCCAAGAAATATCCAGAAGCTAAACTCTACGCCGTAACAAGCGAGAAGATTCAATATTGTGACAATGTGTTTCAAAATGAGACGGGGAAAAACAGGTAGAACAGCAGTATATGTGGATAAATCAAATATTCAGATTCTGATGAGAATTTTCTATGTATTTTCAGGATGAAGACTGGGGCTTTTTTGAGCACAGGGTTTTTCACTATGATTCTAGCCTTGGACATGTGTGACAGCATTAATGTTTATGGAATGATCGACAACAATTATTGCAGGTGCGTAGACTTCCTGTTTCTTTCACTCGTGTGTTTGGTCATGTTGTACACTCGAACTCCCAGAGCAGTCAATTAAAGGAAGTAATCTCCTTTCTCAGACCAGGATCACAAAGCACTTCACATGTAAAAACATACATGTAAAAATATCTGTAAAATTGACAGCGTTTATTTTTGAACAAATAATTACACTGTGTACATATATTTTTGGTCTTTGTAACTACCAATATAGCTTATTTATATTTCATTGATTGATAGCTTTTATTACAGACTCGTAGTCCAGAACACAAAAAATAGACAAGACACAACACACTAAAAAACAGACAACATAAAACAATAAAAGTCCCCAAATCTCTTTAGAGGAGGCATGTATACCAGTGTTTCCACAGTGCAGAGGTATAACGAACATCACTGTATGCGCTACTCGTCAACACTAAAATCATCATATTTGCACTATTGTCCAGGCGACACATAAACTTGAACATAAGGTTCCTCAAGTTGGCCTGCAGTGAGTTTACTCGAAAGGACACATTATCTTCATGAAATCATCTTTTATTCTTAAAATATGAGTATTTTCGCCATTGTAGCCATGTACTATAGCAAGTTCAGGACTGGGTGTGTTGCTATGGATGGACTTACCATAGCAACACGATTACTTGCTAGCAGTTAGCATTCATTAGCATTTTATCAAACTGTTTTTGTAATTTAAGTATTATTAACACGCTCTATCATTTATTAAAAGTGAGTCCAGGTTAAAAACGTATAAATTACTTCCTTTTCTAGTGGAAAACTAAACATTTTTTGAAGAAAGTTTTCAGAATGTGAAAAACAGAAAAATCTGCACAGCTGTGGTCCACCCAAGGGTCTTTAATCTACAGACTGTAATGTTTTTTATTTACAGACCGTTAATAGAAAACACATAGCTTTGCGGATTTTTCTCTGTTTTTCACGTTTTTCACTCTTTTTGAATCCAGAACGCTAGTCCAGGCTACTTATTTGGCCTCATTTGAAACCGAAAGTTTTCAGAATGCCATTGTTTTGAATGGGAGCAGTCAAAATGGGGGCTCTGGGAGTTCTCATAGTTTCAGAATTCTTTTAACCTTTCCCTATTCCTCTCTTCTCTTAAAACAGTAGAGCCAATCACAGTGTTGTTCCTTACCACTACTATGAAAGCAAACGTATCAACGAATGCCGAATGTACAAAGTTCACGAAAACACCAAACGAGGAGGACATCGATTCATCACCGAAAAAGCCATCTACGCCAAATGGGCGACGCGCCACAAGATGGAGTTTTACCATCCGTCGTGGAAGCTCTGAAACCAAGGACTGCTCTCTACAATCAACCCTGAACTGATGCTTCTTGCACTCGCCAAACGTATTAATGCTGCTGGTGTTTCTCGTCTTTAAACAAGTAACCATGACGACCAAGAAGCCCAAACTACTGTTCTCCTCCTACTGCCCCGGACCAGGCGTTTAGAATGATAATAATAATAATGATGCAAAGGATTTATATAGCGCGTTTTTTGGACTCTCATAGACGCTGCACAGGGCATTATTCTTTCACTCCGTACACGGTGGTGATAAACTACTTTTATAGCCACAGCTGCCCTGGGGCACACTGACAGAAGCGAGGCAACCAGTATGTGCCAATCTGTTTCTGACCACCACCAACCATTCACACACACACCAGATTGAAGGACTCAACGACAACACAGCATTTTACAGCTGCAGCCGCACACAGAGGTCTCCCATCACAGTGCTAACCAGGCCCTGCCCTGCTTAGCTTTGGAGGTCATTAGGGCTGCAAAAAGTTAATCACTTAATCACAACCAATCCATTATTCAAACACTAATACCAAAATTATTTCCAGTTGTGGCATAGACGCTTGGCAATGGAGTTCACTATGAAAGCAAGATATCTCTGAAGTGCAGCAGGGCAGGGTCTGGTTAGTACTGTGATGGGAGACCTTTGGTGCCACAGCGGCATAGGCAAGACACTTCACTCACATTGTCCAGTGTGAGTGTGGTGTGTGTGTGAATGGTTGGTGGTGGTCGGAGGGGCCGATGGCACATACTGGTTCTCTCGCTTCGGACAGTGTGCCCCAGGGCAGCTGTGGATTAAAAAGTAGCTTATCACCACTGCGTATAGCCTGGTCGTACCACACCATAGTAGAAATGACATTTCGTACTAAGGTCTGGAGGTGCTCCATTGAGCTCCGTTTACAGATAGGAGAGGTTAACTCCTTTTGCAGATTGAAACGATTGGATCTGAGTTTACCGTGACGTATGTAATGCGCCCGAGTGAGTTGTTAGCATTTAGCCATCCCCTTTGCCGCTAACGGAGCCCGTGGGGAGTAACGCCACAATTTTTCCAGCGATTACATTTGCTAAACATTCCTCTTGCTCCGGCTTCAATTTCTTGATAGAACCAGACCGGATTACTTTACTGTCGCATTTTTCGCCACTGTCAAACTACAACCTGCCTGTTCTGCGCAAACTCTTAACGTCACACACATCTAAATACAACACCCGCGCTCGCTGATTGGTCAGATGGAATTCAACCGATTGTATTCACAAACACAGGGACCAGACCCAGGCGTTACATGCAGGGAAATCATGATTGAGCGGAGTGTACGGATGGCTATGGCCAGGCTACACCGCGTATGGAGTGAATGATTAATGCCGTGCAGACGTCTTGGAGTGTCCAAAAATCTCTATATAAAATAATGCATTTTATCATTATTGTTATATAATGTCTGGGAAGTATGTTTTTATCACATGTTAAAGCCTGTCTCAATGGAGATGTTCTTTTAAGGGGAAAAATCTCATATTTACTGACCTTCTGTGATCTCAAATAACTCATCCATCAAGTGAAAGACTAATCAGCCAACTCATGGATTATCAGACTAATGGTCAGCCCTGAATGGAATGTATTTTGAAATATGTTTTTGCCTTTGACTACTGTAAGGAGTGGTTACGTCCGACCTGCACAATCATGTTACCTGTACATTGCAGCCTGTATACAGTATTACCCTCTGAATGTAATGTACTCATGTGAAAAATATATTTGTTATATTGTGTCCAAAGATTGTATGCTACGTAGTTTTATGTTGCCATTATTTACATGAAATGACAACATGAATAAAATGTATTTCACACGTATTTATTTATTGATTTAAATTGTGGACATGACAATACATCACGTATTAGAATCACGTTTCAAATAATTGTAGTCTTGTCAAGAAGGTCCTGGGTTCGAATCCCGGTCGGAACAGGAACTTTCTCAGTGGAGTTTACGTGTTCTCCCGGTGCCTGCGTAGGTTCCCTCCAGGTACTCCGGTTTCCCCTACCACTAAAAACATGTACAATAGATATGAATGAAATGAGTGATTGAAGGAAGGGTGTTGGTTGGAGGCTTTGATGCGGCACTTTTTGGTCTGTAAAATGCGCTAAAAAAATAAACATTACTTACTTACACAAATGCAAAAAGGAGCAGAAAAATAAATCTGCCCCTTTCTTAAAGATGTATAAATTAAATGCAAAATATTTAAGATGCACTCCTCCTTCAAACAGTTTTTTATTCAATTTATATATATTTTTGTTGTTATTATTATTATTATTATATCGTTATTTCCCCATTTTTCTAATTATTCATTTTTATACGATTTCTCTGTTATCGCTATGATTTAGTCCTGACACATGTGGATATTTGCAGAACTTTTTTTTCATAACGAGGATTCGACATTCCCATGACGTGTTTCTGGGTAATTCATTACAAAAAGCGACAGAGGAGTCTATAGCTTAATCCTTCTGCTGTCCTGGTAAGATTTGAGAGAGAAAAGCAGTATAACGTTGTCGAATAATAGTCGAATCTTGCAACGAGCAGCCTCCGTTATTACCAGAAAAGGGTGGGCGTGACGTCATCAGCGGTGTTGCAGAGAGAAGAGGCTGGGACTCTGGGAGGAAGGCAACACCAGAGACAGACAACAAACTAGACCAGTCCACGGGCCGCTACAGCCGCATACGGGTCATCAGCAAACACAGAATATACACAGAATATACATATGGAGGTTTTTGCAGGCTGCCGTCGCCCTGTGTGGAAGAGGAGGAGAGGCGTAGGAGTTATTGCGTCTGTAAAGGTAGGCGCAGATGATGATGCGCGGGTGATGGAGGATACCCAACCGAACACGTCACGTACAATAATATGCGCAGTTAAAGGCTTATAAAATTCACAAAACGTCTTAGTTTGAATACAGGATACATGAGGAAACTACTTGTGTTTTGGTTTGCGATTGTGCGCTTTACTTATACATGGCATATTCTGCAAATTAGGCCTGTCTCACGCTGCTGTCATGCAATCCACTGATGTTTCACAGCTCACTCAAATAACATATTGCGTTTTCTCCAAACAGGTATGATGCAAGCCAGGCGTTTTACAATCCTAATCCAGCAGAATGGGCCTCACCAGCAAGGTATGCAGTCCAATAACTAATAACACTGAAGGCGTGGTCCAGAGACGTATTGCCCTGGCCCTAATAGAGTCATTTGTCACCGCCACAGGGGCCCCAGAGCCACAGACTGGTCATCTGTGCTGCGGTCCTGGTCCTGATGACACTCCTCATCCTCTATGGCTCCAATAACGCCAACGACGCTGGACTTTCTCCTTTCCGCATGTCCACGCATCAGGCTCTGAAGACCACAGACTTGAAGAAGTGGTCTTCCAGGGATGTTTATGTGCCCATTTATGGGAACAGGGTATGTCTGTATTTCTGTGTGTTCATGCAAAAGAACATTAGAACACCCAGAGGAGTCAATTTGACGAATTTTACTTTTGTAAGCATAAATTAGTTAAAGTCCCTTCTGTCAAGGTGCTGGTCTTGAACTGGTCCTGGACTGGTTCTGGTTCAACACACTGTTTACCTGGCAGCTGTTAGCATTTGTTGCCTTTCAACTGTTTTTTCTGTATTTTAAGTTTTAACACCAATCTTAGCTCTTACAAAAATGTTTACAAAAAGTGGTATTTATTTCAGCGGCGACAGTAGCTCAGTTGGTAGAGCATTGCCCTTAAGGCCAGAAGGTCGTGGGTTCAATTCCCACCTCTGCACCTTCTCCACCGACTCCCACTGATGACTGCTGTCGTTGTGTCCTTGGGCAAGACACTTAACCCCGCTTTGTCCAAAGCCCCCACTGAAAGATCAAGGCTATGCTCACAGTCAGAGAGCAGCCGTCCTCCTGTGGACTCACCACCTGCAGAGGATCAGTGAGGGGCTGGTGCTATGAGACTTGGGTGGCATCTCTGACTGCCACCCCCCTGACCCAGAGATGGATTAAAGGGTAGAAAATGGATGGATGGATGGATGGATGGGTATTTATTTCAGAATCCCATTGATTTGAAAAATGACTGCTCTGGGAGTTCTAGTGTTGAGGGGCCTGTACCTTGAACCCTGTTTTTGCTCATTCTATGTTTAAATCTCAGTTGTTCTGAATATTTGATTTAATTTCTTTCATTAATTTGAGAAGAAATTATATGTTCAAGTATTTATAATATTTACATTCCTCAGTTTATGGAAAACCTTTGTACATTGTTCTGTTGCCTACTGATTACAGTAAAAGTGAGAAAGACTCCCACCCCATGAACGTATTCTAAATACATTTATAGCTTTAGTTTTGAATCTACAAGTAAGTAAGTAATCTTTAATTATAAAGCCTTTCACAGACCAGAGTCACAAAGCGCTTTACACATTGTTATTTTTTGGGGCATTTGTCTCTCACTCCACACAGAGATGGGACAGACCTATTGTAAATTGTTTATTATTTTTAGTGGTAGAGGAAATCTACACAGACACGGGGAGAACATGCAAACTCCACTCAGAAAGGTCCTGTTCCGACCGGGATTCAAACCTAGGACCTTCTTACTGAGAAGCGAAAGTGCTATCCACTCCACCACCGTGCTGCCCCGGTATATAACGATTGCACATGTATGTTTTCAGAGCATGGATCTCCACTGCCGCAGCTGTGCTCTGGTGACCAGCTCCAGTCATGTCCTGGGAACCAAAGCCGGACGAGACATCGACCGAGCGGAGTGCGTGATCCGCATGAACGACGCTCCCTCGCTGGGCTACGACGAGGACGTGGGCAACAGAACCACTCTGAGGGTCGTGGCCCACTCCAGCGTCTTCAGGGTGGTCCGCAAACCCAATGAGTTCCTCCATCGCTCGGACACCAGGCCCATGATCGTCTTCTGGGGGCCGCCGAACAAAATTGGGAAAGATTCGAAAGGAGCGTTGAACAGACTGATCCAGAGAGTCAGCATGACCTACACCAACCTCTCCTGCTTCAGCATCACCCCCAACAAGATGCGCAAGTTTGATAATCTTTTTCTGCGGGAAACGGGTCGCGATCGGTGAGTGAACTTTATTATTATTCTTACTTCATCTTTTTTTATAGAGTGATTGTCCGACACAGGGCTCTTCACACAAAGCACCATAAAAACTTAAAATCACACACATGATTAAAAAAGCTAAAACATTAAAATAAATAATAACAGGGCATTGCGAGATCCTTCATTCGTCTCACAGTTGGGAAATTTCAGTGTTGCATCACCGGTTACAGAGTAGTAGGAATGAACAGGATAAATGAACAATAACTCATTAAGAATACAAGAATTAAAGAACATTTTGTCTACTTTTAAAATCGGATAGTGACCGTTGTTGATCAGTTCCCGCATAAATTATTTTTGCATTTTGTCATTTTTTTCCACTACCATCAATTATATACAGTATTTACCTGTAACGACTCAGAACAAATGGGAGTCAATACTAAAATAAAATGAATTACAATCTCATACAATGAAAACAATGAAAGGAAGCAAATCTATAATCTACAACTTTAGCAGAATTAAGAATAACATCTCTGACTTTAGCATAATAAAGAAGCAGGTTTAAAATACTGTACTACCATACTGTCCCCTAAAATCAACAATATGTTTTACCTGCAACGAGTCAGAACAGACGGGAGTCAATACTAAAAGAAAATTTAGCATTATAAAGAAGCAAGTATAAAATCTCTATCTTTAGCATAAATAGAAGTAAGACTAAAGTATCTGTCTTTAGAATAATAAAGAAGCAAGTTTAAAATACTGTATAATCTAGTGCAGGGGTCTCCAACCATTTCAAAAGGAGAGCTACTTTTATACAACATATGAGGCAGTGAGCTACCCCTTTTTTCGTAGTAAAAATATATCTAATAATTAAGAAAAAACATGGAAAAACACATGGAAAATACTCTAATACTGTATAACCCTATATTTATACTTATAGATATGTAATAACTCAAAATCTAATCATTCAAGATCATTTGTTAAATTCTAAATCCTTTGGCGAGCTACCTGAAAGGGGCGGGTGAGCTACTGGTAGATCACGAGCCACAGAATGGAGACCCCTGAAGACCAAGAAGTGTATGTACGCATCTGTATGTCTGAGTGAGGCGACAGTGGACACATGTGGTTCCATAATGCACATTCTGACATACGCTAATACCTCGTTCTTTGTCCTCCAGGCAAAGATCTCACTCCTGGCTGAGCACCGGCTGGTTCACTATGGTCATAGCTATTGAAATATGTGACAATATACAAGTTTACGGGATGGTTTCGCCCAATCATTGTGGGTAGGTATCATTACACAAGTTGACAGCCAAAAAATGGTCAGGGGTTTCTCAACTGATTTAGACAAATGTTGGTGTTCTGAGTCTGAAAATCACATGCATTTTGCTCTATCAGGTCAACTTTTTGAGATACAGCCATAGTGTTACGGATTACGTACGTCTACGTTATTATGAATTCTGCTTATCAAATTTGATGGAGTAAATAAAAACTGAATGACTTTGGATACGTTGACTTTTATTTCTTGAGGAAAACGGAAAAAACATCAAGGGTTTCTCAGCTGATGATCCGCAGAAATTTGATTTAAAAAAATATTTCTGTAGCAAAAAATCCTGACGTGATTGAGCAAAACCAAGGTCATTTTCGGACTCAGAGCATCAAAATGTGTCTAATTCACCAAAAATATTTTTTTGTTACCCAGTGTTATTTAACCACCAATACATTTATGTGATCAAACTGTATTTTATTTCTGTAGAAAGAAGCCCGGGACCAAAAAGATCCCCTATCATTACTACAAACCTCGCGGGCCGGATGAATGTGTGACTTATGTGCAGAATGAGATCGGCAAAAAAGGAAATCACCATCGATTCATCACAGAAAAACAAGTATTTGCGCATTGGGCGAAGCAGTACAACATCAGCTTCCTTCATCCGAGCTGGTGAGGAGTCGGAATGTAACGAGAAAGGACTCATTTTTGGATTTTGAGATATTTTAGATGGATATTTTTCACATATTTTGCTCTGTGAGTCGGGTTTTACTGTAAATGCAATATATTGTAATGGATTTCTATGAATGTTTTTAGTATTTTGTGAATGCATAGACTAAAGGTCAAAAAGTAGGAATAGGAAAGGCGTCTCCAACCTCGATTACCCAGAGAGCTACTTTCCCAGGACAATGAAGGCAGCTAGCTACTCCTTTAAGCGAGCCTGGGAGAAATGTGGTAATATATTGGTGTGAACGAGTCTGATATCAGGCACAGACATTATCTATCATCTCATATTTGTTACTAGTGACAAAGTAAGTGCATTTACAATAATAGAGAATGAATAATACCAACTGAAATATTAAGTACATTGTTTGATTTGTTCATTTCTAAATCCTTTGGCGGAATAGTACAAAACAGTGCGTTTGACTGAGGGCCAAAGAGAGCCAGATAATTACACATGAGTCCACCTCTCACACCAACTTTTGATCTGATTCATGAAATGACTTTTTGACAACATCAGCTTTATTTTTGTCTCCATCAACTTTTCTGATCCTGGATTACACTCAGGCAGATTGGGTTTAGATTTAGCCTGTATTTTTAATACTTAAGATGGTCCGCAGGGATCAGATGGTTTGATGTTCTGGTTTGAACAGATCTGCATCAAGAGATCAGACCCAATGAGTGACCTACATGAACAGACGCAGAGGTTATTTTATTTTTAGTGCCATTCATTTTTTACTCTGATTATCTTTTTTGTTTAGGCATTTGACCTTTGAAGTTAATAAAACTAGACTTTAGAAGCAATAAGGAGCCTGCACTGTGGAAACTGGACGTTTACATAATATGCAAAGACTCCTTACCAGTTTTCGGTCAGTTATTGAACTAAATGAAATTATTTATGTTGCTTTCTACAATGTAAAGTGTGATTTTTTTTACAGTGTATGTTAAAACTAACATTCTAAGCCCAATGCATGCAGCCAAAATAACCAGATACTGCATATAAATTAATACTTTATTACTCATGCATGAGTCTATGCACATTTAAACGCAGATGTATATCAGAGCAGACAATACTGGGTATGACAATTATTATAAATATGAAATATTCTTCCAAGTTTGACAAGTTCTAAATACCGTTCCCAAAACAGTAGATTTGATGTCAATGGGCATGCAAAACATTTCATTTTAAAATGTTACAATTGCCTTGCTAAACAATTAAGAATGTCTTGTTTTTTTGTGTTGGTCAAATGCTTTAATAAACACATTTAAAGATGGAAAAGGAGGTGTGAAATGTGTGAATATGTACAGTTTAATGTTGTCAATGTTCTTTTAATATTTCATGAGTATTATTGGAGAAAGCAGCATTAATCTTCGGCCTCAGACACGCCATGGAAATCAGCATCGCCTCCTGTGGACCAGAAACAAGTCAGATCTAAGTTCATACACACGCATCTGTCAGGGTTCTTACTGATGAGGGTTCTCACTGATGAGGATCTTACTGATGAGGGTTCTTACTGATGAGGGATCTTACTGATGAGGGTTCTTACTGATGAGGGATCTCACTGATGAGGGTTCTCACTGATGAGGGATCTTACTGATGAGGGATCTCACTGATGAGGGTTCTTCCTGATCAGGGTTCTTACTGATGAGGGATCTCACTGATGAGGGATCTTACTGATGAGGGATCTCACTGATGAGGGTTCTTACTGATCAGGGTTCTTACTGATGAGGGATCTTACTGATCAGGGTTCGGGGTTCTTACAGAGTTCAATGGTGTGACTTCAAAAACTTATTTCAATCTTATATTCCGCCTTTGTCCAACTGACAATTAACTGGAATGAGGGAGTTGAGCATTTTGGAATAACTCCAGTTTAAAGTTCCTACACTGACTTGGACTACAGTTTTAGCAACTCCGGTATGACAACAATTAGCAACTCCATTAGCAATGGATAAAGTGAAAGAAAATGAATGGAATGGATATATTATTTTGATCCTTTAAGTCAGGGGTGTCCAAACCGGTTCAGAAAGGGCCGCTGGGGCTGCAGGTTTTCTGTTAGACGATTACTGTATGAACCCTGACGTCCAGTATTTTCTCCTCTCACCTCTGTCCGTATGGTCCTGCTGCCTTGACCTGGACATGTGTTCAGATAGAGATCAAATAACACGCTCGGATCCGTCACGTCCAAGTTCTGGTCGGCGTCTAAACTTGCTTCTAATCCCTGAACGCCGCCAAAAACCACCAAGAGATGTCTGCAGATTGAAACAAAAAGAGAATTAGCACGAGATCAAAATGAAACAAGGCTCACTTTGTTGCACACTTGAAAGGCGTGAGAGGGGTCTGGTCCAAACTGCGTCCCCGTTCAGATGTGCCGATAGTGAGATCATATCCATCCTTGTACGGACTTTCGGTAAATACTGCACCTGCGACGACAAAGGAGTTCACATGGTTCATACTCATGGTGCTTTTAACCAGGGATGCACTGATCCAATTTGGTCATGTCCTACACCGGCTTTCAAAATCTGCAGCTACAAGATGTAAAGGGATTGGAAAATGCTGGTCCGTTCCCTAAAAAAAAATAATAATAAAAAAAATCAAGTTTTCTTAAGTAGTTAAAGTAGTGCCTTATTCATACACTTTTCTAACCGCCTGAACTCACGACTGCTGAAGTGAGAGACCAGAGATGTCAAAGCTGTGGGATGCATGTCTGAGTGCTGCTGCAGCTGTCAAAAGTCGTGCATACACTGTAAAATATGACTGCAGAGAGAGACCAGAGAGCGAGACAGGAGAGCGAGACCAGAGAGCGAGACCAGAGAGCGAGACCAGAGAGCGAGACCAGAGAGCGAGACCAGAGAGCGAGACCAGAGAGCGAGACCAGAGAGCGAGACCAGAGAGCGAGACCAGAGAGCGAGACCAGAGAGCGAGACCAGAGAGCGAGACCAGAGAGCGAGACCAGAGAGCGAGACCAGAGAGCGAGACCAGAGAGCGAGACCAGAGAGCGAGACCAGCGTCCTCTGAACTATTCACTGTGGTGCAGATAAGCCACAAAAGTTTTCTTCGGACATGGTATACTAATGCTAATGGTATTTCATGTTATACTAGCCGTTATTTGATGTAGTAACAAGCATGAGAAGCAAGCTGTAACAAAAAACAAAATACACACTAAACAAATCCACAAAACAACGAGGCCACGATACAGTGAGGAACCACTGTATTTTACTGTAACTACAGAAAAAAAAATCTGTAGAAACATAAAATTCAGCCAGAAACATGATTGTATTTCATCAATTTAAAAGCCCAAATCAAAATATCATGAAAGTGAACACATTATTCTGGTTCTGCACCGATTGTTGATACCAGTACCAGTGCATCCCTTGTTTTTTTAGGTATAAATGTAAGCTCACTTAGACATGATGCTAGCCGTACGGTGTATCCCCAGTAGAGTCCGCCTTCAGTCCGTGGCACATGAGGAGCCACCACCGTACCTTTGTACACTTTGCTTTCTAAGTGAAAAGGAGACAAGAAGAGACATCAACGTACAATTCATAAATGTGTGTGTGCATGTATGGTCACATTACAGACGATTTACCTTCACTCTGTTTTTTATTCAGCTTTACAGTGACTCGAAGACCTGACTGCAACGGTTTATCAATCCGAACATCCTACAACAAACAAACCCGTTTTTTTTTTTTTTTGGCCACATGTGAAATACAGGGGTCTCAAACGCACATACTCTTCTCATTCCACAGTTGACGAACGAGCCTTTTCCTTGTTTAGTCGGTCGGTCTAGAACTATTCCTTCTCTGTATTGAGATTCCTCGTCTATCCTCATGTGGTGAGGGCTGTCGAGAGGGTTGAGTAATCCTGTTCACGGAAACACAATAAAGCAGATTTAGTGAAAGCTTTTCTGAGCGGCCTCGTGAATAGACTTTCCGTTCTGAATCACCTGCGTATTGTAAATCTTGGTGTTTAGGGAAGAACCACTTGCGGAGATATCTAGATGGAAAAGAGTAGTGTCAAAATCCAGAACAGTCTGATGCACAAAAAGACAGCAAAATAAGCCGTTTTCTTACTGAGGGCATTCGAGGTATTGAAGTATTCTGGCAAGCTGAATACAGGCTTGTCCTTTCTTCCCAACTCCTTTGAATTCCCCTTCCACACTTCTGTAAAATTGTGTAAAAACATGAGCCGTTAAATAGAAACACACATGTTAATTATAAGGGTGGGAGATGGCAAAGTGTGTATTGCGATAGTTGGGCCACAATTCAATATCATTGCGATTCATGTCCCTCATATTAATCAAAGGCATATTACAAAAAAATAGGAAAATAAGGAAAATAACTTGTGTGTCACATTAACTATGGTCTGCACAAGAACTGAATTCTTGAACATTCCTGAACACTTCAGGACACAGGACCTTATCACAAGGACAAGACAGAACTATTCTCTACCGACCTCTCAGCACATCACTTAAAGGTGCAGTTAGTGATGTTGTTAGCTTAGCCGTAGCACCAACTCCAAACCACTCCCCCCTCCCCTCGCCTCGCCTCTCCACCAAACCAAACATCCAGCATTTTCTTTTCTTTGTCACAACAGGGAGAGTGGGCGGCAAACGTGAAATTGGTATCTTCAGCAATTGTAGGTTTTAGGAAATCTGATAACTCAGGTGCACTCGCGTTTTTTAAACCTGTTCACTCATTTTTGTAGACTACAGGCATCTGGTCCATTCCATTACTATTTGAAAACACATGTTAACTTGACTACTTTTAGGGTTTAGGGACACACACAAAAAAAGAGTCCCAAAAAGAAGACACTATAGAGTAACATAAACCTCAGAGAAAATGATCTGTTTTACTTCAATTAACTAAGTAAGAAATCTTTATTTATATACCGCCTTTCACAGACCAGAGTCACAAAGCGGTTTACAATTGTTATTTTTTTAGGGCATTTGTCCTCTCACTCCACACAGAGATGGGAGTGAGGTCGACAGTATAGGAGGCGGATGCCAGAACCTATTGTACATGTTTTCAGTGGTAGGGTAAACCGGAGTACCGGAGGAAACCTACGCAGACAAGGGGAGAACATGCAAACTCCACTCAGAAAGGCCCTGGTTCTGGGATTCAAACCCAGGACCTTCTTGCTGAGAGGCGAGAGTGCTATCCACTCAGCCAGTGGGCCGCCTGATTGCATAATCAATTCAATCGCATGCACAAACTATCGCGACACTGACCAGAATCGTTTCCCCTCTCACTGGTACATTATCATACATCAGTTTGCTTACTTCACGTCCTCTCCCTGTTCATCAAAAACAATGATTTCATCCACACAAAAGACCACCGAGGCTCGAGCGATCTGTCCAGCCAGGTACGTGCGGAGTTCTGCAGACTGAGCGTTGTCCAGAACTGACCCAGGCAAAGCCACGCTCACGGTGTACTGCCGACCTGTCACACACACACACACACACACACACACACACACACACACACACACACACACACACACACACACACACACACACACACACACACACACACACACACACACACACACACACACACACACACACACACACACACACACACACACACACACTTATAAAACCATCAAGAATGAAGTAACAAAATGCTGAAAAAAACATTTTTACCAGCGTCTGTTTGCGTCTGTTCAGAGATTTCATTTTTTTTAGCTTCTTCCTTCTGTTTTTCCTTCTCCAACTGTTTCACTGTCTTGGCATGTTTCTTTTGTTTGAGAGCTTCTTTAACTAAAAAAACAAAACAAAAAACATCAGACGTGGCATAAAACAAGACGATGTAAACCTTCAAATGTCTCTCAGTGGAGATTTCAATGTCATGGTTGCGCACATTACAGTAGATAGAAGAAGAAATGAAAGATTATGCACATATAAAACAGGATCTATTGTTTTTAAGATAATAAACTTATACATGGGAGGTTTATACAAAAATAAAAAGCTGCCAGATGCAATATTATTTGGATGGAGAGCCCTTAGCCTTAATTACAGCACACACACATACAGGCAGACACACACACATACAGCAGACACACACACATACAGCAGACACACACACATACAGGGAGACACACACACGCACTGGCCTTGTTTCACAAAGCCTTCATTGTTCTCTGCCTTTGACCCACATCCCTCCAAAACGTGGGCAATTATTTTCTCCAGGGAGCCACATTGGTAAATTGTGGAGGGCCGGACTCGTTTTCATGTAGTTACCATTTGATTTATGGAAGAACAAATGCAAGTATAAACTACTTCTGTTAAAAATTTAACAAAAATATTAGTAATTGATAAACACAAATGTTTACAGAGAAAAGGAGAGGGGAAACCTGAATATATACAATGCTATCGTTGTGTAAAGCTTATCTTTTGCATCTGCAGCTGCATTTATCTTTTAACCTTCTACAATATGGAACTTACATTGAGGATTTATTTATTTTATCAAATCTGGATTATATGTTTAAAGCTAAAGAAGACGTAAGTGTTGTGGACAGATGAATGCTTTTGAGGAACTATTATGAGGTATAACATGCCATTGTAGCTCTCACAAAGTTGTTTGTTGAATAGTTATTTCAATAGGGGGAGACAGTGTGAAGGGAAAAGGTCAGAGGGCCACATATAAACATGAATTGGGCCACACTTTACCCGGGTCTGCACCCTAGGGTCCCATCCGAGTCAGGACTGCCTTTGTTTGGAGGCTTTTACATGCATGGGAAGGTCAGATCCAGTCGGACTTCTGAGGCTGTGCAGGGCAGGGCCTGGTTAGTACTGTGATGGGAGACCTCTGGGTCTCCCATCACCTGTAAACTGCCAAAGTGTCGTTGTGTCCTGAGGCAAGACACTTCACCCACATTGCCTCAATTTAGTCTGGTGTGTGGGTGGGTGCGTGCATGTGACTTGTTCGTGGTGGTGGGAGGGGCTGATGGCACATACTGGTTGCCTTGATTCTGACATTGTGCCCCAGGGCAGCCGTGGCTACAGTAGTAGTTTATCACCACCATTAATGACGTGAACGAATAATTTCTGACTTTCATAGTTAATATTTACTTATCTTATCTCCTCATTCCTACTGTTCTTTAACTTGTGATGCAGGTGCAACAATGACATTTCCCCACTATGGGAAAAATAAAGGATCTCTTAATCTTGTGTAACTAATGAGATGTACATGGATCATGGATCTACATTTTGTTCGTCCGTGGGAGAGAATCCCTCTCTCAATGTAGGGCTCCCCAAGGTTTCTCACTGTTTTCTCATTCGGGTTTTTGTTCTTTTGAATCATTACTTCATCCCTGTGCACCAATGGCTCCTAAATATGTGTTATTATTGTCAATACTATTACTATTTTAAATGGCGCTTTTTTGGACATTCAAACTACAATGGTAGCCACAGCTGCCCTGGGGCACACTGACAGAAGTGTGGCGACCAGTCTGTTCCATCGCCCCCTCTGACCACCACCAACCATTCACACACACACCACATTCATTCTAGACAATGTGGGTGAAGTGTCTTGCCTAAGGACACAACGACAATTTGGCACTTTACCGCCGCAAATGATGTTCCCAGGGATCTTCCATCACAGCACCAACCAGGCCCTGCCCTGCTTAGCTTCAGAGATCTGACTGGATAGACTGTAAATATTAATGACGGGATCTGGCTTTCACATGCAGGTATAACAACAGCAACACACTACATTTCCTGTGTTATTCTCTGTTTTTGATTTTTAAATGTCTCTGATACGACTGTTGTTCGAATATTATGTTATCTCAGTAGTCCAATCTCCGTACTGTTGTGTTTACTGAGTATTATTATGCTAGCCCCATGTTAGCACTTAACTCACCTCCAGCTTTTCTCTTCTTCCAGTTAACATGACTCTCTCCCTGAGAAGAGAAACACAGTGTGAGAACAACATTGGCCTCCTGTTCATAAGCGTCCATCCCCGTCACACTGTACCTGGCAGGGCAACTGTTTATTTGGAGTATTTGACATTTTCGACACAATAACAATATTCAACAATCCCACGCGCACAACACACGTGAGCCGCGTCCGCTTCCGGGTCAGAGCCTTCAAAATAAATGCCCGGATATGGCGCGGTGTTTACTAATAAAAACACTTGTCTTGTAAGTTTTTTACATTTGCAACATTTTATGTAAACCGACATATTGTGAACATCTGTCATACAAGTAAAATCAAGCATGTGTTATTATATTATTTCATGAAGTAGTAATTAAGTACAATTTTTTTTCATCCATAAACAAATGTTATTTATATAATAATTTTGGAAAAAGGAAACATGGGGGCAACAGTGGCTCAGTTGGTAGAGGTAGAGGCCTATAAGCCTGAGGGTCGTGGGTTTGAGGCTGCCACAAGGCCTTCTCCACCGTCTCCCACTATTGTCTGCTGTTGTTGTGTCCTTGGGCAAGACACTTGACTCCACTTTGCCTGAAACCCCCATTGAAAGATCAAGGCAATGCCATAGAGCAGCCATCCTCCTGTGGACTCACCACCTGCAGGAGGATCAGTGAGGGGCCCATGCTATGTGTACTGGGTGAACAATATTTGTTCACCAAATTAACAAATATGGTGCTAATAATCTTATATTGTTAGCTAAGATTACACTCACAAGGTTTACACTCATAAAATGTAAGAATACAACTAAACTATCATTTATTGATACGTGCCCTTTACATTTACAGATAACAAACGTCTAAATGTATGCCCTGGGTATACTGAGGTGGCAGAGGCAACAGGGAGATACCGCAAGATCAGAAACTTGCTCAAAGGGTTATTCTTTAAAATGTATGTCAGTGGGAGCCATACATGTGTCTTACTGTGAATGTGTGATAAAAAAAAACACAGAGTGTTATATTAGTCTCAAAATGTCACTTGTTTATTGACATTTTAATACTGAAGAAATCCAATGCATAAAACATTCTAATAATGCCTATTTGTCTGAGAGCCACAGGTTCCTGACCTCGGAGTTAGAAAACTAACACAGTGAAAAATCAAGGGTCATCGCCCATGCCGTAGTCCACCCTCAGATGGATATGGGAGCTGGGTGTAGGCCGTGGTCCGCCCTCAGATGGACATGGGAGCCAGGTGTAGGCCGTGGTCCCCTCAGATGGACATGGGAGCTGGGTGTAGGCCGTGGTCCCCTCAGATGGACATGGGAGCTGGGTGTAGGCCGTGGTCCCCTCAGATGGACATGGGAGCTGGGTGTAGGCCGTGGTCTCCTCAGATGGACATGGGAGCCAGGTGTAGGCCGTGGTCCCCTCAGATGGACATGGGAGCCAGGTGTAGGCCGTGGTCCCCTCAGATGGACATGGGAGCCGGGTGTAGGCCGTGGTCCGCCCTCAGATGGATATGGGAGCCAGGTGTAGGCCGTGGTCCCCTCAGATGGACATGGGAGCCGGGTGTAGGTCCCTCAATGACGGTTAGGCCGTGGTCCGCCCTCAGATGGACATGGGAGCCGGGTGTAGGCCGTGGTCCCCTCAGATGGATATGGGAGCCAGGTGTAGGCCGTGGTCCCCTCAGATGGACATGGGAGCTGGGTGTAGGCCGTGGTCTCCTCAGATGGACATGGGAGCGGGTGTAGGCCGTGGTCCGCCCTCAGATGGACATGGGAGACGGGTGTAGGCCGTGGTCCCCTCAGATGGACATGGGAGCCAGGTGTAGGCCGTGGTCCCCTCAGATGGACATGGGAGCCAGGTGTAGGCCGTGGTCCCCTCAGATGGACATGGGAGCCAGGTGTAGGCCGTGGTCCCCTCAGATGGACATGGGAGCCAGGTGTAGGCCGTGGTCCCCTCAGATGGACATGGGAGCTGGGTGTAGGCCGTGGTCTCCTCAGATGGACATGGGAGCGGGTGTAGGCCGTGGTCCGCCCTCAGATGGACATGGGAGCTGGGTGTAGGCCGTGGTCTCCTCAGATGGACATGGGAGCCAGGTGTAGGCCGTGGTCCCCTCAGATGGACATGGGAGCCGGGTGTAGGCCGTGGTCCGCCCTCAGATGGACATGGGAGCCAGGTGTAGGCCGTGGTCCGCCCTCAGATGGACATGGGAGCTGGGTGTAGGCCGTGGTCCCCTCAGATGGACATGGGAGCTGGGTGTAGGCCGTGGTCTCCTCAGATGGACATGGGAGCCAGGTGTAGGCCGTGGTCCCCTCAGATGGACATGGGAGCCGGGTGTAGGCCGTGGTCCGCCCTCAGATGGACATGGGAGCCAGGTGTAGGCCGTGGTCCCCTCAGATGGACATGGGAGCCAGGTGTAGGCCGTGGTCCCCTCAGATGGACATGGGAGCCGGGTGTAGGCCGTGGTCCGCCCTCAGATGGACATGGGAGACGGGTGTAGGCCGTGGTCCCCTCAGATGGACATGGGAGCCAGGTGTAGGCCGTGGTCCGCCCTCAGATGGACATGGGAGCTGGGTGCAGAGATTGGGAAAAGTGGAAGGTGTTGGATGTGTGAACAATGTGTAGACGGAGGTGAAACATAAAAACAGATTCACTCAGGAGCACTCCACTTTCTCAATATTTCTACTGCTGCATCTAAGGTCGAGTCCTCCTATAGAAACAAAAAAACAAGACCACCACATAAAAACACAGAATGCAATAATATAAAGGATTAGTATAAAAGTGACTATACAGTACCTTCACAAAACAAAACCGTATATATTTATTGAAGTCTTTTTGATGTTCTGGGCTGTAAAATGCAGATACTGGGATAGTGGCCAAACCCTAAAAAAACAAACACTTAGATGTAAATTAACACGTTTAAAAAAAATAAAAAATAAAAATACCAACAAAGATCTAAAAAGTATCACCTTTTCCCGGATTAACCACTTGACAAATTTAAAATCATATTCTTCCTCTTTTGAGCCTTGATCCTTAAGGTCTAGGTCTAAATAGATAAAGTGTATCAGTAGATGTGAGATCAGGAGTTGTTGGATCTTTAAGCATGTTTTTCTTCAGTGTTTTCTGACCGAGAGTAGAAATATCTGCCACCATGAAGTACCCTCCCTCTGGCAGGATGGGCTTCAAACCCACACTTTCAAGACACGTGGACAACTTTTTTCTTTTGTCGTGCAGCATCGCAGGCAGTTGCTGAAAGTAGCTCTCTGGAGTCCCGAAGACTTCATATTCTCTGTCAAACCCACAAGCAACAGCCTCCTACGATCAGAGCCACAGACGTTAGATAAGGTCAGAAACCTAGGAGTTATAATGGACTCAGACTTAAATTTTAACAGTCATATCAAATCAGTAACATCAGCAGCATTTTACCATCTGAAAAACATTGCCAAAATTAGAAACATAGTGTCTAAATCAGATCTGGAGATTCTCATCCATGCATTTGTCTCCAGTAGGTTAGACTACTGCAATGGCCTGCTCACAGGTCTCTCCAAACAGGCTGTAAAACAACTGCAGTATGTTCGAGTCCTGACCAGGACCAGGAAATATGACCACATTAGTCCAGTTCTCAGGTCTCTGCACTGGCTTCCTGTGGCTCAGAGAATAGACTTCAAAGCAGCACTGCTTGTGTACAAGTCTCTCCATGGCCTCGCACCAGGGTACTTAAGCGACTTGTTAGTCCCATATGAACCGACCCGGACTCTGAGGAGCACAGGAGGTAGCCTCTTACTGGTTCCAAGAGTCAGAACTAAACATGGGGAGGCAGCGTTTGAGATTTATGGAGCTAAAATCTGGAACAATCTTCCTGAAGATGTGAGGCTAGCACCTACTCTGGCAATTTTTAAATCAGGGCTAAAAACTGTTCTTTTTAGCTGTGCATACGGCTGAAGGATTTTATTGATACATACTCTTTTTTTTTAATGCATTGTGGTTATTTATTATTTTAATCCTGTGTGTGCTTTTAATATTTTAAGGTTTATTTATTTTTTATTTTTTTTCCATTACTTGTGATTTTATTCTGTTTTTAATGTATTTATTGATGTCTCTGATTTGTCTGATATTATGTGGGTTGTGAGGCGCTTTGAGTGGCCTTGTGTTGGAAAGGCGCCATACAAATAAAGTTGATTGATTGATTGATAAGTTCCATAGATAGATCATAATAAAACTCTCTATAATGTCATTTTGAAATCACCTGGGCAGCAGTGGCACAGTGATAAACAGAATTCTGATGCAATGTTTTCATGTGTTTGATAATGTGGTCTGAACTGATGGCCCATCCGACCTGCAACAGAAAGTTAGGGTTTTTAGAGGTTTTTCTCACTGATGCAGAAAAAAATGTATTGAAAAAAGGGCGACAGTGGCTAAATTAGGAGCGCATTGTCCTTTGGGCCTGAAAGTCGTGAGTTCGATACCCCCATGAGACCCACTCCAACTGCCCCCACTGATGCGGTCTTTATGTCCCCGGGCGAGACACTTAACCCCACTTTGCCTGAAGCCCCTGCTGAAACACCAAGGCTGAGGCTTTGACAATGGAGCAGCAGCCATCTTACTGTGGACCCACCACCTGCCGAGGAGCAGTGAGGGACTGGTGCTATGAGAATTGTGTGCCCAACCCAGAAATTGATTAACAAAGAGGTAGAAAATGGAATGAATCAATTGACGAAAATACAAGCGAGAGTGAATAAAATGTCACGTGCTCTTCAAGGATCTGTGGGAAACTGCAATTGCAACTTTTCCTCTTCGTTTTGTACTTCAAAGTCCCAACAACAATGAGATTTTTTAAAGTTAAGAGTGACCTTTTCCTACGTTTTCTACTTCATAAATTTAATTGAATTAAATGCACATCTTGACAACATTAAAAGACAAAGAAATACACCAAACCTTCCATCCAGTCGCACTGAACGTCTTCCCCGCGCTCCCAACAGTAATGGTTCTCTCCCACATTCCCGGGAGGCTCGCTGTAACAAAGATCGCATGGATAAATGACTTATTGACTCACCCATGTACATTTTGTCTCACCAATCTTGACATGCTTAGCCCCATCGTACGTCAGCCACTCGTAGACCTCGTCACTGATGCACAGAAGGTCATTTTTTATACACACATCTGCAATTTCCTGAAGTTCCTCCTTCTTATAAACCTGTTTCAGACACATGTAAACTTGCATAAGGATGTCGTCATTTGCTTCCATTCATAAAACAAACCCAGGGGCACTTCTTACTTTGCCTAAAGGATTATTGGGCGTATTAATAACAATTGCTTTAGTACGTGGGGTAATTTTACTCGCCAGTTCTTCAGACGAAAGGACCCAGTCTGCGCTGGACAAAACCGCTTTGTTTTCACTTCTCTATTCACAGAAATGACAGAAGTTAATTTAAAAAGGTTGTGCTGACCAAACATAACAGTAAACAACGGTAAACGCTTACAGGACGCAGAGGGACGTACACAGCTTTTCCACCAGCCATGCGCACCATTGGCTGATAGCAGTCAAAGAAAGGTTCGACAATTATTACCTAGAAAAACAATAAGCAATAGTAATAAAGTAACAAATTCAAAGGAAATATGACGGATACCATTTCCACGAGTCTGTAGCAATGTTAATGAAAGGAAGCTACCTCTATCTTGCAATGTTATCATGAGTGCAGAACTATTCCAATGTGTTTTCTGCAAGTGGCAAATAAGCTGCGAGGGTGACCCAGACCTACTTTTCTTCTTTATTGGAAAAGGATAAGATACCCCACTCTTTGTTTATGATGCCAACATATTGCAAAACAAAAGTACTTATACTTTCCTACATATTTACAAGAAAGTGTGAAAGCAAAGAACGTAAACTAAGAATATTTACACAGAAAGAGGGGGTGGGAGGAGTCAATAAGTGCTCGACTTCATCCCACTCCTTTTCAAGTAGCAATGCATTTTCTTTGTTTTTTCATTGTGTGATTTTTTTTATTTATTTTTTAATATTTCGAGGAAGTAAGTGGGCATAGAAAGAATTAGCAATAATTAATCACAAGCAAATTAGGTACATTTACAAAATATAACAAAAAAAACAAAAAAATATATATATATACATAACAAAAAGAGTAAGAATAGTAATAACACTTTTGGATGCTCAAGAGGGAGTGGGAAGAAGTAAACACTTATTTATTCCCACCCCTACTTACTTCAGCCATTACATATGCATAATGACTGAAGTAATGAAATCATTGAAGAAATGAAGAAGCAATGACTGCTTGAAACTTTATGTTCATATCTACGAGTGTAAACACGGCTAAATATTGGTTATAACTTTTAGACAACCAAATGAACACAACTTACTTCATCCCCTTCATCCACCAGTGCTTGAAATGCACAGAACAGAGCCTGATAAGCACCGACTGTGACCAGGATGTCTTCTAGAGGATCGATTTCATGGCCCACGATCCTGGTGAAAAACGTGGCAAGGCTTTTAACCAGATGTGGATGTCCCTGCAACGCAACAATCCAGATTTTAAAACCAAAAACCAAAACGTGGAGGGTTTAGTGTTGTGGTTATTTTCTCACAAAGGCACGAGTGTATTGGTGCATTTCCGGTCCTCCCATCACAGCGGAACAGAAAGCCTCCTGGATGAACTTCGGAGGAGAGAAGTCTGGGAACCCCTGCCCAAGGTTCACCGCTTTGTAGTCTGCAGCGAGTTGAGTGAATTCAACCCTGTCCCAGAGAAATAAGATAAAAAGACAACAAAATAACACATAGCCATTGGAGCTAAGACAGTAAGAGTTCCGAATACCCTTTAATCAATACTGGACAGACCTTCATGGAACACTGCAAGACATCTTTAACAGTAAATTTGCCATTGATATGAAAACAGGTTTTTTTTTTTTGCACGCTTTGGGGCTAGAGAAAAAAGGAGAAGTGTCTGTTCAGTGCCTTGCTTGTTGTTGGCAAAAAAGAAAAATGGTTATCCCTGGACATTCCAACTTTGACACTGTGGTAGGAAATATCTTTCTTTAGTAATGTATAAGATGGAAGATGGAAGAGCTGACGGCTTATGTGAATCGCACACACAGTTGGTTTGATTCTTGTTGGAGTAATTTGGTAACATACAGCAAGAGACCCAGTTTAATACTAAAAAAGTAAATTACTGTTTTTGATGACCCCTTTCTTGGTATTTATTGATCACTCCTTGTTCTGTAATTGCTCTGTATTTTGTCCTGTATAATCTATGAAAACTCCTAAATTTAGGTCATGAATACAGGATTTAACGTAAAAAGAGTATTAATCAGTAACTAGGGATTTGCTTTAGCTCAAGGTGCAATCAAGTTGTAAGAGTAAAAGAGTTAATTGGTTTAATAAAGGCTTATATTACAAAAAATGTATATACAAGTGCAGTAAATACACACAGTAGACATTTGGCAGTGGTATAATATAAACATGAGACCTACCAAACATTCTTATCCACTCCTTCCACTCTGCTTGAATGGATTTTTCGCGACATTGTCTGAAACCCAAAAAGAAGTTTGAAATTAATTTACAAAAGCAAACTAGCTGGAATAGATAAAGATTTCTCAACAAACCTTGAGATAAGATGCAGTAAAGTCCGGTGTTCTTCTGCGCACCAGACTGAAAAGCTGCAAAGCACTAATAATTCCCATGAATCACATTCCCCCAAAAAGTATCTGACACTGCACGAATAACTCAAGCAAATGCACAAATGTACAGTCTATGAGCACAACCCGTGGACACACAATGTTCTGACATAAAAGTCAAGTTAACTATTTACGCAGGGACATGTTTACGGCAGGGAATCTTGCACTTCCGGTATGGGCGGGGCCAGGCTGAGGAGGTCAACCTTATGCCTTTACCCTACGGCTACTCCTCCAGGACAAAACCTCAGACTAAACTGGCAGGGAGAAAGTTCAACTCAGTTCAATTTATTTTTTAAGTTGCCAGTTTGCCAAATACATTAGAGAATCAAACAGCTAAACGGATCACCAATGTCCATAAATGTTAATAAATGTCCCGGATTATCACTGCATCGGAAAAAAAGTATGTGAAAACAATCTGGGAAAAGTGTGAGACACCTAAGGGAGGGCCATAGTGAGAGAGGAATCTACTCCCACAGAGAGATAGGCTGTAGATCCAGGATTCAGGCTATAGATCCAGGACTGAGGCTGTACATCCAGGATTCAGGCTATAGATCCAGGACTGAGGCTGTACATCCAGGATTCAGGCTATAGATCCAGGACTGAGGCTGTACATCCAGGATTCAGGCTATAGATCCAGGACTGAGGCTGTACATCCAGGATTCAGGCTATAGATCCAGGACTGAGGCTGTAGATCCAGAGCTCAGGCTGTGGAACCAGGACTGAAGAGGCTGCCAGGTTGGGTGGGGGATGCAGCTTACGAGTCTGATCCGGTGGCATCAGGTGCACATAATCACGTAATGAAACATACAACAGAGACAGTCCAGAGAAAAGTTGATATAATTGCACTACTCTTAGATGCATGTAAAAACAATCCATTATCCATTGAATAGGACAAAAAAATAAAGTGAAAATCAGATATTTTTCAAACAATATCAAAGCTTGACTTGATCATTCAAGTTAATTTTTACAACATTTTATTCATTGACAAGTTCCATCACACAGTACTGCTCTGTAGACCCCATAGACCGGCGTGTGTCCTCTGAAAGGGCCTCAAAGACCAGCCTTTTTCAAGTCCTCGGGAAGGATCCTGCCTCTTTTGCGTGCTTTGTTTTTCTTCTTCTCCACTTTCATCTTCTTGCGCTTAAGAATATTATTTTTCCTCTTGTCTTGTCGATGCTGCATTTTCTCCACCACGTTGTCACTGCGCTGATCCCACTTCTTCTTCCTTTGCGTTTTCCTCTTCTCCTTTTTCTTCAACGCAACACGCAGCATTTTCTCGTCATCTTTGATTTTAATACCTTCTGCTTTGTACAGTAAGTTTGTCCATTTCATCTTATTCTCCAGCTCCTGTGCCTTGTCAGCATCCTTCTCCCTCAGCTCCTCCAGTTTCGCTTTGCGTAATTCCACCCGACTGAGAAGCTGCTTGTAATTCTTCCCAGTTAGCGGCGTTATTTGGCCCTTTAAACTCTTTTTCTTGTTCTGCTTTTTCAGCATCTTGTCTTGATACCCCTCTTCTACGGTTTCCACTTTGTTAAATACAATAGCAGTCTCACTCCTCTTATTGGCAGGGACAGGCGCAACCTCTACGCTCTCCTGCTTTATCTCAGGAGCCTTTTCTAATGCAATTTTTTCAGCCAGTTTCTTCATTCGAATTTCCTTTTTCTTCCTTTTTTTACGTTCCCGCTCGATTTTTCGCTTTGCCCTTTTGGCCTGCACTTCTGGCGACAATGCATCCTTTGGCACACCCTGCAAAGATAAACAGGGAACAATTAAAAAAGCAAACCACAAGTGCATAAAAGACAAAGTGAAAGATGTTCTGATTTGTTTTGTTATCAACATGCTTCTCAACTTTGTGATCTGGTTTAGTGAACACAGAACAGCTGTAATCATACTCTGTTGGACGATATACTTAATAATTAGTATGGAAATTGGTTGCACTCAGAGAAAAGGTGAATACTTTAGCATACCCCACACAACAGCAGATATTAGTGGGAGCAGTTGGAGTAGCTCCCGAGGTGGACTCGAACCCACGACATTCCAGCCTACCAACTGAGCTACTGTAGCCCCCTCTTTTCTTTGTTTCATGTAAATTATATAAGGTGCATTAAAAACATATTTGATTTTGCATCATTTTGTTTTGACATAAAATAATGGTAAAAACATCCTATTTGCAGTTATTTATTGTGTTGGTCACTATGAGAGCTTTATTCATATTCCACAACTGACTTTCACTTGAAATTAGCTTGTATTTTATTTTTGTGCTAGTGTAAAGATACAAAATGTGAAAACGTAAATACTTTTATGGCACAGCATGATTACAACTAAACAAAATAAAAAGAATACCCTTTAACCCTTGGGTTAAATCGAAATAATGTTGTATACGTTTCTCAAGTTCTGTTCATATTCATAACAACAATAAGTACCTGTCCCCGTGACTCTTCAATTTTTTCATGAAGCCTCTTTCGCAGCAGATCTACTCCAGAGAAACGAAACTCCACATCTAGAAGAAAGTAAATGGTCAGCATTTTACAGATAAAACAATGTGTATTTATAAAGTACCTTTCTTCAGGTGCCCATTTCCCAGTGCAGGCTTAGCTGGAGCTGGGGTTGATTTGTCCTTTACGTTTTGAGGTGCAACACTGGTTCCTGATTTGTTGTTTTGAGCGAGTTTCTTTTTCATTTTTTTCAGCTTATTCTTAGAAGGAGCCTCATGTTTTGCAGCACCCTTCAACTGTCCTGTTACACATGTATAATAAGTATGTTAGCCACTAGACAGAGAATATTATGGGAATATTGTTAGACACAGTCATAACGAGGTAAAACTTACATAAAATAGCATGCAATAAATCAAACTTGCACACTAGTATTGGAAAAGAGTAAAGACAAATAGGCTGTATAATATTTACCGATTCTCTTCTTCTTCGGCTCTGACTGCGCTTGCTGAGAAAACACACGACTGGCGAGTTTCTGAATGTATGCATCTTTCGAGACTAGATCCATGTCCGCACAGAGAAAGCTGCACAAAACAGTCTACAATTATAATAAAAGTAATACCTGAAAAAGCATCCCCACACACATACACACGTGGGGAAAACAACAGTTTCGCCGGAAGGAGTTACACTGAAATGAGTCCCCCTTGCGTCACATCAGGTTTGTTATGTATGTGTTCCTCAAGCGGACCACATCCACTCTCACTAAATTCTCCAGATATTGATTGTGTTTAAGGTCATTATGAGGGGTTTATTTATATTCTACAACAAGACTGCTACGTCGCTAAAACACCGCGTAAGTAATTATAATAGTTTGTAGGAAAATAATCTTGACATTCATCTGTTGTCATTGCAGGCTTTTGCTTTTTACGTCAGTCGATCCAACGCACTGCCCAGACTTCACCTTATCCAACACACTGCAGGTAGAAATATTTCCTACTTTATTATTGTTCTGTGTCTTCTTTTTGTAATTAAAGCTTTGTCAACACAGGGAGACAGTGCAGTTCTGTTGCAGCAGCTGGGGCAGAGAAAGACACATTTTTTAAATGGTTTCTGCTGCTTATTCCTGTGACTACATTTGGTCTTGGGACATGGCAGGTATGACATGTACAACAACAAACACTATTTCTTTCTTATTTCTTTTCTTTTCTTGTTTCTTTATTTCAAGTTCAGAAACAGGAATCAATTTTTGTCATTTTCAGTTTTAATATTCAAATATATCCAAATATGAGTAGTCATGAAGTCAAACATATAAGCTTCCATCCCATAAATTCACCTTATAGGTTGCATTGCTATTTATTTAGTTTTATGTGTTTTTTTTATCATCATTTAAAGTTATATATTATGTATTATTTATATAATCATGTTTCCAGTTTTTGCAATCTATGTACGAGTTTAGGTGAAAATACTGCTAAAGCCTAATCTTTACAGTCTTTACATGGCTGAAGCAGAGAAGCTGGAAATTACTCCAATAAGATATTTATATAGAATTTGTTTGTGGTCAAGGTCAAGCGACGACAGTGGAAATTGGAACTGATAAATGACCTGACCAGGCTCACGACTGCTGAGCCCGTTGCTTTACCTTCAGAGTGAGTTACTGGTTTAATACATTTAATTAATAGTGTACTATTGTGGAACTTATCACCAGTTTGGTCTTGTCTTTGAATGTTAAAAACGTGTCATGTGTCAAGCATGAGTGCTTAAGGTTGCAAAAATATCTGAATAAACAAACAGCATTGATTTCTTCACATTTGCAACATGAAGTGAATAGTCAAACATTACGAAAACGGATCTACAGTAACTTCATGCTGCTTTACCAATTCTCAATTAAATATACCACTAATTTTTGACCAAATGTTAGTGTGATTTGTGTTATTTCTCCTCAGGCGTCACACGTAGATTGGCCTTGTTTCCATACGTTTATTATTTTAGCTGTAGTGTGATCGTTCCAGTCAAAGCATTCTCTACCCGACACGTTACTTAGTGCGTCTCATAAACATCGCACACGTTTGACCGTTTGAACAATTAATATTTTGTTTTGTTCACAGCCCTCATGAGCTGAACTCTTTGGAGTACAGGAGAGTGAAGACTCGTGGGAGATTTGACCACTCAAAAGAATTGTACATCATGCCTCGATCCCCTGTTGACCCTGAAAGAGAAGCACGAGAGGCCGGCAGCATCTCGTCCAGTGGACAGATCGGTGCTAACGTCATCACACCGTTCTACTGCACTGACCTCGGGTAAGAAGATAATATTTAAAGTGTAAAAAATCTCATAACGAAAGCTGCATTTTACTTTTATAATTTCAGCATCACAATTCTTGTCAATCGAGGGTACGTTCCAAGACAGAAAGTCAAGCCAGAGACAAGGATGAAGGGACAGGTACGATATTACTGGTTCATTAAAAGCAATGTTCCCCAACCTTGCTACACATTTGCCATTGAAAACAATCACATGGGAAACCACCAGAACAAAAATTAAACTCTGTAGCCTTTATTAACAATGCTCAGGTCTCAGGTCAGACACCAGGAGCTAGGTTCTCTGGTCTCTCTCTAGTCTCTATCTCTGGTTTCTCTCTGGTCTCTCTCTAGTCTCTATCTCTGGTTTCTCTCTGGTCTCTCTCTAGTCTCTATCTCTGGTCTCTCTCTAGTCTCTTTAGTGTTTCACCAACAGTTAAATATTAAAACACGATAGAACCATGTGGACACTGGTGTTTCTAGACCACTGGTTTTCATGTTGTAATGTAGCAGATAAATGACTGAAACAGGATTTAATGACAAAGTGTTTAACGGCTTAACCGCTTCGTGCCAGTACTCATTCATTGTCTTATAGCTAATAAAACTTGTCCATAAACAGTGCTCTGACAAATATACCACAATTAAAATATATACATTGGCTGCAGGGCTCAAAAAATGAAAAAGTAGCAGCTTATTGTCTCAAAGTTATGGTATATAGAAAATCAAACAATAAATTGATCTTCTCATCAAAATACCTAACACCCCAAGATACACTAACATGTCATAACGCACTAATATTTAACCTAACACTAATATTTGATGTGGGTGCAGGTGGAAAAGGAAGTAGAAGTGGTTGGAATAGTCAGATTGACCGAGGAGCGTAAACCTTTTGTCCCAAATAACGACGTGCAGAAAAACCGATGGCATTATCGTGACTTGGAGGCCATGGCTCAGCTCACCGGAGCCGAGCCCATCTTCATCGACGCCGACTTTGGTAAGATCAGTTTGTACTTTGGTCACATTTAACAAATATGAAGTAACTAGAATTGCTCCACGTGTATAAAGATGTTTTATTTATTTATATATAATTAACAGAAAGACAGCTTTTTAAAAATGTGTAGAAAAATATATGGCTTAAAAGTACAGTTCCCCTTCATTAAAATCGGGGAATCTCTCACCAAACAGGTTAGAATTTTACCTTGAAACCATCTCACAGCCTTCACTGGTCAAGACACCAGGTGGTTGTCTGTAGGATCTAGGGATGTAAAAAACTATGAATTTTCATGACCGACCACCGAGCCTCATTAACCGGTTGAAACCGGTTAACCGCGTAGTTTAAAATAGTCCACGTTCTTTGAAATAACAGCCATTTCGAGCTGCGTACTTTTCATATGTGCAGCTGAGCATTCTAATGGATCAGAGCCGAGACAGCGGCACCAAAACCCGCAACAGCTTTGGCACCTTTGCGCACAGAGAACTGCTGTTTTAATCTTCCCATTCTTCTGTGCTGCGGCTTAAAGCATTTTTAAGCAAAAGACAGCTCGTCCACATGGTCAGGGCAGCGAGTGACGAGCCGCGTCTCGCAGGTCTCCGCTAAAGTTTAAAAGTGATCAGTGTGGAGCTGATGCCAAGGACCAGCAGCACAAACATGGTCCATGTGGTTTGACTGGAGCCGTGTATTTGCAAGAATGCTTTGGGCTCCGTGACACAGAGGAGCGCGACAGACCGGTATGTGTGTGTGTGTACAATACATGTATGTATGTGTGTGTAAATATAAGCTCCAATGTAGTTCTGACCCGCACCAGTGTGCAACTAGCAGACGGTAACAGAGGGGAGAGATGATGCGTGTGGATGTTACGTGTCAATGGAGGGGGGGATGTGTGTGTGTGTGTGTGTGTGTGCGTGTACATGTGTGCGTGCATATGTGACGCGTACGGCGTGAGAGTCGGCCCAGAGTTTACTGATACATTGGCGCACACAGCTAGATACAGACCCGCTCGTCACACCGTGCAAATAGGGCTTAAAATAGCGTTATGAAGAGACCTCCCCTCTCCCCCTTTTCTCTTTTTTAACCGACAGCTTTGACCGGTTAACGCTGTGACGGTCAACCACCGGTTAACCGGTCACCGATTTACATCCCTAGTAGGATCAAAATGTAATCTACATGTAAAGTATTTTGCAGTGACTTATCAATGCTTACAGCCAGCACTATTCCTGGAGGACCAATAGGAGGTCAGACTAGAGTAACTCTCCGGAACGAGCACATGCAGTACATTATGACTTGGTAAGTGCTTATTACATTTGTATTGTGTGTATTTTATTCATGAACTTGTCTTTCCCCATTTCAGGTATGGCCTCTGTGCAGCGACCTCTTACATGTGGTATGCAAAGTTTATCACCAAGATTAAAATATAACCCGTTACTCTGGAGGCATGTGTGCAATTACTGAATAAAAACCCTGCTCCATGTGTGGCTTCAGCGATTAAGTGTTTTATGACTTGTCTGTTACATATTGGACATTGTTACACCCAACAGTAATACTTGATTCCCACATTGTGTATACATAGTTCCCACAGACCAATGAATGTCACATGACCTCCTCGGAGACGCCATCTTTGATGGCACGCTGCTGTGTTTGTGCATTCCATTAAACAGAAGAATGAGAATAAATGTAGATATTCAAACGCAAATTGGAAAAAAAGGGCAACTTTTGAGCAAATAATTGTATATTAATACAATGGCACCACAGTTTAACGTGCTACGGACATGTTTTACATATTTGATCAAATTATGCAGCAAAAATTAACAAGCAATGCAAACATTTCTCAAAAACTTTAGATTTAATACCAGTTGGAGCTCCATTTAATTATTTTAAATATATTAACAATTTAATTAATGCTAATGCCACACGGACACTCTGGATTGCTGTTATTGTTTATTTCCGCGTTTTTGACCGTATGTTTTGGTGAATGGTGGGCAACTGATTTTTCCAGGCGTAAAGAGCAGTTTATTTTATGACACAGATCTTTTTACAGAAGCAATGCTGTTTGTGAACATTGTTTTAGCCCACCATAGAACTATTATTATCTATTTAATACATTTACGTTGCCCTCGAGAGCCTCGGACGCGACACCGATCCTCCTCATAATAAAGTAATCTAAATAATGAAACTCTCAAGTTACCAGATATCAGCATACACAAGTTAGTACTGAGTAAATTACGTCTGTCAACACATTATGAGATACGATACGCACCTGACACAAAGTGCTCCGAGCATATTCTTGCGTGTTTTGAGGGAGTTTCTTGCCTGTTTATCTTCGCAAGCCATAACCTCCGTGGTTGTTCTGACAAAAGCTTAGTCTTCTCACATTCATGAAGTCTAATGATGGGTATACTGTAAAATCCAAGTTTAGCGGAACCTCCGGCACGATTTGAACATCCATTGACCCAGCAGGAGATGACCATTTTCAACTTTATCACGACATTAACACGTTTCAGCTTCTTTTTCTATTGTTTTGCCCACAGCATGCCAACACAAATGGCGCCGGGTCGGCAAATCCCTGTATGCAGTGACGTCATGTGGGAACTATGTATACAAGATAATAATCTTTGTATAGCACTTTTAAAAACAATGTTTACAAAGCGCTGCACAGTCAGCATAATAAAAAATAACAATGCAAAGTCAAAATAATTAGATATAAACACAAGAAGGGAGACACAACAAAGACAGAGCAGACATTAAAATACAGCATGTGTTTGAAACTAGCAGTTAAAAGCTGTTTTATAAAAGTGGGTTTTTAGAAGTGATTTAAAAGAGGATACTGATGGTGCTAGCCTTATCTCCTCGGGCAGGTCGTTCCAAAGCCGAGGAGCTCGGTCACCTTTCGTCCGGAGCCTCGACCTTGGAACAGTCAACAGGGACCTGCCCGACTGTAGGGGTCGTAGGGGGTTAAAAGTTCATAAATATAGCTTGGTGCCAGACCTAAACAAGCTTTAAAAGTAATCAGTAAAATCTTAATTTTAAAACGCACAGAGAGCCAGTGGAGAGACGCTAAAACAGGGGTGATGTGCTTCCTTCTGTTAAAACCAGTGAGAAGTCTGGCTGCTGCGTTCTGGACCAGTTGGAGGCGGGAGAGGGATTTAGCGTCGAGACCAGAGAGGAGGGAGTTGCAGTAGTCGAGGCGGGAGAAGATGAGGGCTTTGACGACTTTATGGATATCGGGAGGAGTGAGAAGGTTTTTAATCTTTGAGATGGTGCGGAGGTGAAAGAAGCAGGATTGGGTGGTTTTGTTGATGTGGGAGCGGAAGGTGAGGTGAGAATCAAAAATGACAGGTTACGGGCGGAGGGAGTGATGTTTGAGGACAGAGGTGGGTTTGGATGTGGGATATTGATGAGGACTTCAGATTTGGATGTGTTGAGGTGGTAAAATTACCCGTGGTGACCGCAAAGGTTCTTTCTAAAAGATGAAACCAGCCAAGTGCAGTATCTGATGCCAACCCACGTTTTGAGGCCATCCAATAAAATCCTGTGGTCGATTGTGTCGAATTAAAATAGCACACCCTCCGCTGTTTGGTTAAAAAGGTCATTAAAACTAAGGAGGGCTGTCTCTGTACTATGTTTTAAAACTGGATTAGAATTTCTCAAAGATGTGGTTCTCAATCTAATGAAACAATTCTCTAAATGTTGGGTCTAAAATTGTTAAAATCCGTAGTACTTAAATTAGGCTTCTTTAAAAGTGGCTGGACTTTTATGAAATGCTAAACACATAATATCCATGTCCCAAGTATTAGCTTGATTTTGAAATTGTATCACTTAGAATGCAATGGGACAAATACATCAGGAACTTGTGCAGAATCCGCCAGTTTTTAAAAGCCGGTGTTCCATCATACAAATGTAATTTCCAACCAAGTACTTAAAGGGTAGCGAAAAGTTAACAGATGGCTTAAGCCAGGCCGATAATTCCCAAAAGCTATGACATTTTTATGTCATAGATATAACAGTACAAACAGTACCTCTCTCTGGTGGTATAGAAAGCAGCAGGCACCACACATCCAAAATACCATAGTCATAGGTTTTAGGTTCAGACCACTGCGCTACATTTAGAAATGTCTTACTGCTAATTTACACATCACGCGTTACAGCACGTACGCGTTATACGCGCGTAACTTTTTTCCATGTTAACCTATGATATTTACACTTCTAGCGTTATACGCGCGTATGACGGACATGACGCGAAGCTGCGCTCTAATTTAGGATGGGTTTCTAATTTTGTGCGCGCACCAACGCGTCTCCCATTGAAATCTCATGTAAAACATGATTTTTCTAGCGGTCCTTTATTTAGATCACATCTGCACACACACAGCACTTGTGTCTAAACATCAGCAGGAGGAGCAGCAGGTTTTACAGTGATTCTGGACATCGTTTTTTTTCTTTCATTAAGTCTCGCGTCTGGCGAAACCAGCGCACAGAGACCATGAAGACAAACACATGCATGCGATTTGTGTTGCTCTACATCAGTAGAGCTTCCTCTTCCGCCTCCGTCGAGCAAAGAGGTGTCTCAGACGCTCCTGCTTCTGACTGCTTGCAATCTCCTGTTTTTGTCTTTTTCCTGGAGTTTTGCCACAGACAACTTTTAGCAAGAATGGAAATGGTAAATTGGTCCCTCAACGCAATTGATTCTATCTTTTCAACACGTAAGCGTGGGTCTGGAGAGCCCGAGTGCCCGGACGGGACTTCACCAGCGGGGTATACTCTTGACAGCTGGAACAAGTGGCAGCCCCTCTGTCTGTCGACCCTGTCCATTGAAGATTCGGAAGACGTATATATCTTTGGCTTTTTGGTGGTGGGGATCCTCCTGTTTGGGTTTGGAGCGGTTCTATTCTACCATAAATTCGGAGGCATGGCAGTTCGCAAGATTCACGACCTGCTGGCCAACAAAATTGATGGGATGTACAAGGAGCTTAACCGAGTCGTGGTTGAGAGCGCTGTGGCTGGACAACGAAGAGTGGTTTTGGTGGAACAGTTGATCAGAGACCTGACGGGCATAAAACTCTGGAATTGAGATTGAATGACATTGTTTGTCACGCTTGAACTCTCTGACCCGGCTTGGATTGGCCCCTGTGTACGGGGTTTGAGAGCGCCGCAATTCAGTTTAATTGGATTTAATAGAATATCTGCCTGTTTTTGACTGCTAAAATGCATACTAGATTGTCCCTTGTTACAGGAAGATGTGTTTTTCTCCATGCTGTGTCTTCGCTCCTCTCTTATCTCACATTCCTCGGGCCAAGGCCATCATAATAAATCTGGTCTCTACAAAAATTTCACACTCTTTCAGTCTTCCAGCTTGGATCCCGCTCCCTCCCCTCCCCTCCTCACTGTGTTTCCGACTCACCCCCTCCCTGACCCCGCCCCCCTCTGACAGCCACCGGCAGCCAGAGGTGCTCATCCCGAGAAAAAAATCCGTGGTTTATACAAAGCACAATGTTTTCTATCCAACTGTCTGTTGTAACCTGTATGTTATTGCTCTCTGCTGTTTATTCTACTGTTTGTCGCATGGCGCCGGAAAAATGGCGCCGTGGCAAGAGCTCTGGTGTGTGTCGTCTCTGTCTGGCGCACACCGGGGTAGTCTTGCACAGTTTTTCCAATGTGGTTTTACTGCAAATGGCAAATGAATCTGAATCTGAGTCCTCTGGCCCGTACTGTCCTCTACACTGCTCCATAGACTACACAGGGAGAGCATCAGAAGCCGCGGACCTGTACGCACGGTCAGTGTAGATACTCCAAAAAAATGTTACGCGCAGAGAGCGCGCAGTAAACGTGTACGCGCTGTTTACGCCTACTGTGTAAATTCGTCTGTCTAAATATTGTAAGGCATAAATGCATATTGAAGTCATTGGTTCCAAGCAGTGTACAACAAATAATTTTAGACAGATTTGTTTGACTTTTATTCATATCAGTTTTTAGAGTCACAACTCCTTAAAATACTTACGAGTTTATCTAAAAAGGTGACAGCAACTGAAATACATGTCTTTCTGTGCACCAGTTTTTCCCATGATGCAGTACAAGAATCCCATCTTCCAGCACCTCACACTTTCACAGTGCAGATAGAAAGACGTCCAAGCTGCAAATATGAAAAGTATTTGAATCAGTCTTTGTTGCAGTAGATTCAATAGAAACGATAAAGTAGTCTTTGCTCAGGGTTAAAAAGCTCATAAACCATCACAGAATGTCAGTTGGAAGAACATCATACATCATAGCAAAAGACCAACCCTCCCCACATATAACAGACTTACCTCAATTGGATCCATGCATTATCCAATAACAAACTTAGCGCCTAAAAGAAATGTTCAGACCTGAAAAGAGTAAATCGTGTCAGCAAATGTTCTCTTTAGCTACAATCATAATTACGTTTAAGGTCTATTGCTCAGGGTTAAAAAGCTCATAAACCATCACAGAATGTCAGGTGAAGAAATTCAAACATCATTGCAAAGGACCACAGATATTAATACTACACTAACTTTTCTTACCAGTATAAAGTATGGCGGCCTTTGAATGGAGACTCCAGAACACCATTTCACAAAACTGGTCCAATCACAGGTGAGCTGGATCGTCCTGACCTGCAGGGGGAAGAGAATGACAACTGAAACTGAATACTATGATGGAGAATGAAAAATTATATATGAAGTGCATCAGCGATCTTGGTGGGAATGTCTGCATCTTGTTTAAGATAGCAAATATTCATTACATCATCTGCACAGCCTTGTAAACTGCTTTTGGCTTCACTCACCAATGCTGTAGGTTCTTTTCTCCAACCAACCTCAGGAGCTGCTGCAATTAGCCTGGAATGGAGAATTACAATCAGCACAAAAGATTCCATTGATTATGAAGTAATTGACAGAATACTAAGATGCAGAAGGAAAATGTATATATATGAAGTGCATCAGCGATCTTGGTGGGAATGTCTGCATCGTGTTTAAGATAGCAAATATTCAGTTTCATCATCTGCACAACCTTGTAATCTACATTGTCATTGAACTCACCAAAGCTTTAGGTTCTTTGGTCTTTTCTCCAGCAGTGGGTTCAGTTGATCTCAGGTGTTGCTACATTTAGCCTAGAATGGAGAATTAAAAATCAGCACAAACTATGCCAGTGATGAAGACAAAATAAAGCCACAATCATTTTCCATACCTTTGAATGAAAAGCCATGTCCAGCTGAGTAAAGGGTTGGCGCGGGTCCTTGCAGGTTACATACTGGGCGATATCTTGTAGTTCCAAGTCTGAAATTGAGGTTGTGGGCTCCCGGTCTTTGCCAGCAGTAGTATTAGAATATCTGCCTATGTGTCCAAGAATACACCACATTCTTACCTATAACTACATGGAAATTCAACCTATTGACCTTACCCCCAAAATAAATTAAAAAAAATCAAGAAGGCAGATTTTTGGGCAGACGTTTATTGAAAATCGGTTAACCAAGCTTTGTCGCAAGCTCTTTAGCCTTTGCCTTCTCCAGTTTAGCGATACGGGCCGTGGATTTAGGTCCCATAATTCCACCTCCCCAGTGGCGACGGATCTGAATAGAAAAACAATGATAATCTCGATACGTTTATAGCAATTCCTGTATGTAGCAGTAAAGTGGCTCACCTCCTCATATCTGTCATTGTAGTTGGTCTTGATTGCTTCCACCAGCTTGGCAAGTGCACCCTTGTCCTCTCTTTAGGAAATAAAGTATACAACAGCATTAGACAGTTATATAAAACGAATACCTTGTTAAAAGTGCAATACTTACGGGTTAATCTGTGTGAAGGCAACTGAAGTGCAAGTCTTTCTGTGCACCAGTCTACCCAGTCTTGCCTTGCCCTTGACAATGCAGTAAGGAACTCCCATTTTCCGGCAGAGGGCAGGCAGAAAGACGACCAACTAAAAATAAAAGTGCATTAGACTTCCAGACTTTTCCTTGTTACATTAAATAATAGGATATATAAAGTATGGTCTTTGCTCAGGGTTAAAAAGCTCATAAAGCATCACAAAATGTCAGTTGAAGAAATTCATACATCATAGCAAAAGACCAATCCTCAACACAGTCCTCTAGTAGTCTTACCTCAATTGGATCCACATCGTGGGCAATAATGACGAGCTGGGCCTTCTTACTCTCGACCAGAGAAGTAACGGTGTTCACACCTGTAAAGCATAAACATTTGTCAAGATAGTTTTATTGTGCTATACAAATAAATAGGTTAACAGCCCATTGCTCAGGGTTAAAAAGCTCATAAACCATCACAAAAGTATCAGGTGAAGAAATTCAGACATCATTGCAAAAGGCCATAGTAGACAGTTACCGCTGGTGTGTACATTTACTACAGTCTCATCTCTTACCAGCACGGAGCACAGGGGGCCTCTTGGTGGGAGTATCACCCTTCCCAGCTGCCTTCTGCTCAGCACGGGCCAGCAGCCTTTGCTTCTTCTCCTGCTTGGTCTCCGGTCTGTACTTGTGGGCCAGTTTGAACAACGATGTGGCTATTCACAAAAGGACAATATATCAGAAGTCAATTCTCCAAACATGGCATTAATTGAACATAGCTACACTTCATTTACCAGTCTGACGATCCAGAGCTTGGGTGAACTGGTTGATCGCAGGGGGAACCTTCAGACGCTTGTAGAGGATGGAGCGCTGCCTCTGCAGGCGAATGTATCTTGGCCATTTCACGAAACGTGTCAAATCACGCTTGGGCTGGATGTCCTGACCTGAAGAGAGATGACAATGTAGTTAATCATATACTGTACAGCACACAGAGTTATATTGGTAACTATAGAAGTGCGTCAGCGATCTTGGTGGGAATGTCTGCATTGTGATTAAGATAGCAAATATTCAAGTTTCATCATATGCACAAGGTTATCATGATGTGTAATTTGTTCAATTACCGATGCTAAAGTTCTTGGGCCTTTTCTCAAAGAGAGGGTTCACCACTTTTTTGGCCTCATGTTTCTTGGCCACTGAAGGGGCTGGTGCCACCTTCTTCCCCTTAGCCTTCTTTCCCTTAGGCTGTAGAAGAAAATAGCGTTAATTAAACAGCATGTCGTGATGATATACATTAAATAGAGTTAAGAGCCATGTGTAGCGGAGACACGGCGACTTCATTTGCCATGTTATCGGGCTACACACATTAGCCTAGCATCTTAGCATCATCTACTTTAAGTTCTGCAGTCGGGTCAGATTAAAAATGAACACAACTAGATAAAGAGGTCCGCTACACATATATTGTACAGGCCAATAATCACAAGAACAGTGCATTCGCAGAGACAAAGTGCGGTTATGGTTAGATTTAGCATTAGCTTCACTCGTTCAATGGGCTCCTTCACCGGCTACACGTACTGCAAGATTTTAAGTTCAATTCTATCAACAAATACCGAATTTGAAGCACAAATACGAGTAGGAGGAGAGAGTTTAGAGTTTACTTGACCAGATGATATGTTTAATACATCCAAGAATGGAACACAAGGCGAGATGATTTTAGATGTAAGTAATCTGTTAAAAATATCTGTGTACCCACCATGTTGTATCAAGGCAGAAAGGAAGAGGAAGGCATTCTGGGTAGGTTAAGTACCGCGAGATTTGGGTCCGGTTGCTTTAGCCTAAAATAATAAAGATTTAATTCCCCACTTTTAATAACAAAAGAGCGTAAATATCACATGAATACATTTTTTGCTATGATATAAAAAAAAAATATATATATTTTTTTCAACTTTACGTAATTATATTAAGTGAATAATACAATTTACGAAAATAAAAACTTTAATGATAAAACTAGTACAGTCTATGACTGAAATATTCTGATATCAAATTGGCTCGAAACAGTTTTAGTAATACAACGTTATTCTAGTAATTTGATTTTAAAAAAAAATCATTTGACTAAAAACTCGCAAAATTATGAAAATAAACTCGGAAAATTATGAGCAGATTAATGTTGTTCAGACGCATAAAATGTCCAAACAAAATATATATATAAAAAAAAACCACAATAACAAAAAGTACATCATATTTTTTAAATGTAGAATTTGTAAGTTCAGCATATTAAGATTTTCAGACTTCTACTCTATTCTCATAATATTTTGAAGCATTTTTTCAATTATTGTTTGAATTTAAAACATGTATTATTATGTGTGTGTTTCACGTGCTCTTCGTAACTGTGCGTGTTGGTGGGTCGTACTCAGGGAGGGGGAGATGTTTGGGGGAAAGACTGTAAACCGTCAAATCCTCTTGATATATCTGCTTTATCGTTTTTAATGCTTCTCCAACAGGTGACATTTACGGCAGGAATGAAGAGCCTTCATCATCACAATGACCTATAGGTTTTCTGGTAAATAAACTCATTCATCTGTATCTTTTGTCATGCTATTCTGCTTATTCACTCTATGTGCTGTCTCTGTACGTGTTTGGGGTTTAAAATGTCATCAGTAATTTCCGATATGCGTTAACATGCAGTTTTGTTCAGATGTCCTTGAATGCTAAACACTGTCAAATAGAAAGAGCCGGTCCATAGTCTGTGATAAGAGCTTCATGCTAACATTAGCCGTGTTAGCTAGTGTTGAAGACAGCATTGTTGTTGACTTGTTCAGAGACTGCACCTCCATCCGAACAAACCAAACAAAGAATGGCGGAGCTGGACGCTTGCTCTCACCTGGACTGCATTGGTGAAGTCACTAAGGATGACCTTCTCCAAAAATCTAAGGTTGGCACACATATTTGCCCCATTAACAGATTTATAAAGGGATTGTCTAGCATTTACTAATGTGCTTCTAGAATAACATCGTCCTACAAAAATATATAACATAATCAACGTAACTTGTGTCTACTAATATTAATAATCATGCTATTAGATTGTAGTAATTATATTATTATGAATGGACAATAATTCAATCTGATAATTTAATGGATTTTAATTGCCACTTTTTACTGTAAATGATATATCCTGCATTTAACATGTTCGCACATTTATTTATTTTGCACAATCTTGAGTGTTTCTATCCATGCCAGATGTGACCTGTACATTTCTTCTGTGTGAGATCAATAAAGTCTTTCTTACCTTATCTTATCTTTCAGGCAACATGTCAATCATGTGGAGCAGGAAGCCCAAATTTGTGGGCTTGTCTACAGGTAATGGACTATTTTTTTTTTTACATCTTTACATCTATCTTTACATCTATTAGAATACGTATCCATATTTTGGGGACTCCTGCTGGTGCCCAGAGTCAGGACTAAACATGAGGAGGCAGCATTTCACATTAATGCAGCTAAAATCTGGAACAGTTTTCCTGAAAATGTGAGACGGGCTTCTACCTGCTAATGTCCAAATCCAGGTTAAAAATTGTTCTGTTTTAGCTGTGCATTCAACTGAAGGATTACATTTTCACCCTTTTTAATGTACTGCGATTATTTATGATATTTATACCCTATGTGATTGTTTCTATCTTGTTAGGCACATTGAGTGGCCTTGTGTATAAACTGTGCTACAAATACACTTACCTTGTTTTAATATTCCCTCCTTTACCGTGCAGAACGACTGCTCTTATGTCGGCTGTGGTGAATCCTTTTCTGATCACAGCACACTTCATGCTCAGGTAAAAATATGCTTTGTATTTGATCTTCTAGAATTGTCTTTTGTAACACAATTCATTTGACTCTAGGCAAAGAAACACAACCTCACGGTGAACCTGACGACATTCAGAGTCTGGTGTTATGTGTGTGAACGAGAGGTCTTTCTGGAGCAGAGACCGTCCTTGGTCCCGGTGGTCGCTCATCACTGTAAACCTTCCGGACAGGTCTTTGATTCATTGTTTTACACAAGTTATTAATAATAATATCCTGTTATTGTCTTTGTACAAAAATATCAATTCATTTCAGTGTATTCTTGTATAGCCCTAAATCACAGCAGTAGCTATCTCAGAGGACTTACCCAAGCCGTTGTATTCACCAACACAGATCAGAGAATCCAACAGTTCAAACACAAGAAATGCAATTATTTTAAAAAACACATAGAGCCATTGGTCCATACGGGGAAAATGACCAATTCTTTTATTTTTTTTATTTAACCTTTATTTAACCAGGAAAAATCCCATTTAGATTAAGAACCTATTTTTCAAGGGAGTCCTGTCCAAGATTCAGATCAGATTCAGATTCAGATTCATTTATTTGCCATTTGCAGTAAAACCACATTGGAAAAACTGTGCAAGACTACCCCAGTGTGCACCAGACGACACACACCAGAGCTCTTGCCAGGCAGCAAAGTTACACATAGTAACACAACAGACAGATAAAATTACATTAAAAATGACAAGTAAAACAATTGAGGCCGTCTCGAAAACTCTTGAGTTTTCAATGTCCATAAATGTTGATAAATGTCCATAAATGTTGATAAATGTCCATAAATGTGTGTTCCAGGATTCATTGACTCAGCCGGTCGGACATCCGCTGAAAGCTGTGCCAATTGCTGTGGCAGAAGAAGAAGGGTCTGAGTCTGAGGAGGATGAGCTGAAACCTAGAGGTAAATATTGTACCAATGTTCAATCTGTGTGTCTGTTTGTGTTGTTTCATATTTGTTTTTGTACAGGTCTTACCGGAATGAAAAACATCGGAAACACTTGCTACATGAATGCAGCCCTTCAGGCTTTGTCAAATTGGTATTTTTTGTTTTAATCAAGCACATCTTTGTTTGTGTTGTGTTTTAAAAGGTTGTGTTTCATTGTGTTTTTTGTTCTTCTTTCCTCCTTTAGTCCACCCCTCACACAGTTTTTCTTGGACTGCAGTGGTTTAGTGCGTACGGACAAAAAGCCAGCTCTATGCAAGAGCTACCATAAACTTATCTCAGAACTTTGGCATAAAAAACGGTACAAGATCATTTTAAAAAACAGTTGGATGATACAAATTGTGAATATACTGTATTTATTCCAGACCCAGCTATGTCGTGCCTACAAGTCTCTCTCATGGTATAAAATTAGTAAATCCCATGTTTCGTGGCTATGCCCAGCAGGTTTGTTTTGTGCATTAATGAAAGCATCATTTGTTTTTGTGGGTCAAACATGACACAGTGTTTTCTTTAGGATACTCAAGAGTTTTTGCGCTGTCTCATGGATCAGCTGCATGAGGAGCTGAAGGAGCCGCTAACAGAGTGCACTTTGAGTGGAGATGGCTTCGATATCGATGAACGACGAGATGGAGACCGCTCTCCGTCAGAGGATGAGTTTCTGTCATGTGACTCGGGCTCCAACAGTGACCGGGGCGAGGCTGTCTGCACTGCGGACGAAGAACTGCTCTTTCAGGACGAGTGTGACAGTGTAAGGTCACCCTCCCGGCAAAATGAAGTCCCCTCGACAAGTGTGATCTCTGAGAAAGAGAGGCTAAAGGAGAGGAGAGTGTCGGGGTCACCTCTTCGTGGAGGTTCCCAGGAAATGGATGAAGATGCAGATGTCGATACAACTGCTGAAGATGACCCTCCCGAGAGACTACAGACCAAGGAGGAGCCCACAACCCCGATCTCAGAGACCCAAACTGTAGAAAACAACCAGACACAAAGTACTTCTCAGGCGCAGAGTCAGTCCAGCAGCACCTCTGGTATGATTCATTTATACATTATATAAATTGTGATTATATTGTATATAATACCCTCTGTCGCATGTGCATCATGTGTTTGATTTGATCCTAGAGCCTGATAATGAAGCCAGTATGTCACAGCCTCAGTCCGTCCCCTGCACCCCTGTGCGCAGCCTCCCGGACCTGCATCCAAAGCTCTCCTGCAGCCCCCCACGCTCCAGCTCCCTGCGCTCTGCTGGACCGGCATATTCATTCAAAAAAGGTACAGAAACAGCTTTGGCTTGATTCTGACTTCAATCAGTGCCTTGACATCACAATGTGTATTTCAGCCCAACTGCTGCTTAGTTCAAGGAAAAAGAAACAGTCCCACTATCGCAGTGTGATCTCTGACATCTTCGATGGCACCATTCTAAGTCTTGTCCAGTGTCTAACCTGTGACAGGGTAGGTCCTTGTAAGGTAAACATGAGCACTTTCTACAATACTTACATTATGTAACATTTACTTTTAAACCTATGAATCAGAATCAGAATAATTTTTATTGCCACGTAACAGGAGGTCACAGACTTGGAAATTTCTTTGGCTCAGTGCAACAGTCAGAAAGAGATAATAAAAATAAGAATAAAAAACACTTCTAAAGAATAAATTTAAATTTAAAATAGAGTTACAGTTACTATTTACAATTACTTGTTCTATTGCCAGAATTGTAACTATGTACCCAGAATATATGTAGAATTGCAATTCATGTAACCTTATTTCTAGTTGAGGCAATGACATAACATTGCATAATACAGAGTGAAGGATACAGTATACAGTATATACTTACATCATGTATAATGCATGTACTTTGCAGTATTCAGTACTTATTATTCCTGTCACTGTCTGTCAAACATGGTAATTGTATTTTGCTTCTAACAGATAATAACACAGATGAATATTTGTTTTGTCAGCTGTCGTCAACAGTTGAAACCTTCCAGGATCTTTCTCTTCCTATTCCTGGAAAAGAAGACTTGGCTAAACTCCATTCTTCCATTCATCAGAATCTTCCGGTAAAGACCGGAGTGTCTCCTGAAACATACGCGTCTCAGGGCTGGATCACCTTCATCATGGACTCCATACGGAGGTCAGTTCAGGACCTGATGTTTAACACTAGGACTCTCACAATTATGAAACAAGTAGAACGCCCAGAGCAGTCACTTTGACTGCCCTCATTCAAACCAATGGAATTAGGACAAATTTCCCAAAAATGTTGATTATTAAAAGTAGATAGTTTATGAGGTTTTTATTTATATTCACTTTTGTGCTAAAACTGGTTATTTTTAACTTTAAATACAATAAAACATTTGTTGAAAGGCTAATGCTAAAGACTACAATGTTTACTGTCTACAGTTAGAATTTAAACAGTCCAGTAATTTCATGAAAACAGACAAAAAACTCTTAAATAGATACAGAAAAAGTCACTATCATAGGAGGACCAAAAAGATATATACTGTATGCTGAGTAATAAAGTAAAAGTACGCATTAGCTCCAGCAGTTCTTGGCTCTAAAAAACATGTTTTTCAAAGACTGCAAAGTAAAAATTGGGCCATATCACCAAAGAGCAATCAGTTCAGCAGCGACACGTTTTCTTTCTGCAGACAGAACACACTGGTCTCATTCTGTCACACAAGGTACTTTTACAACATCCTCTCTGGAGAAAAACACAAAATCCGAAACTTCAAAGTTACAGCTAAAATGTTATGGCTCAGCTACGATTGTGTAAGATTTGGTTTGAATTGAGAGACTAGAGTTTGTTATGTATGTATTGTTTATTATCCTAAATAGTAGATTTTTGTTCTTGGTTCTTCCTACCGTCTTGTTCTTGCCACTGACTTTTCCCCAGCGTGGGACGAATAAAGGTTTTCTTATTATTGACCTTTGTTAAACCAGGACAGTTTTATAAAGAAAGTGATTTTATACAAAAAGACAACATTACATAGACCTTTGATTGTAGTGTAGTGGGCGGGCCGGTGGAATCGCACTTTCGCTTTCCGGTGAGAAAGTCCTGGGTTCGAATCCCGGCCGGAGCAGGACTTTTCTGAGTCGATTTTGCATGTTCTCTCCGTGTCTGCGTAGGTTTCCTCCGGGTGCTCCGGTTTCCCGTACCACTAAAACCATGTATAATAGGTCTGTCATGTGCCTCCTGTACTGGCGACCTCGCTCCCATCTCTGTGTGGAGTGAGAGACAACAACAAAATTAATTAAATAAAACAATTGTGACTGGTCTGTGAAAGGCGCTATATCAGGGGTGTCAAACTCATTTTGGTCCGGGGGCCACATACAACCTAATCTGATCTCAAGTGGGCCGGACCAGGAGATGCTCTACAAAAATATCCAAAAACGGTACAAAGTCCAACTTTTTGTGCACATAAACACATTTATTTAAAACTTCCTTTAAAACACTATCCTTTAATACTCAGTTTTCTGTTACAAACTTAAATGTAACAGTGAGTTTTTCACAGTGCAAATAATGTAATGTATTTACAATATTACATTGAAAATGGTATTTCACAATATGTATATTAATATTTGTGTGTTAGCTTTGTTTTAAGGCTCATTACAGAGAAAACTTGCTCACAAAGGTAAAGTAGGTAGACAGAAAAAAGCACTTAAATACAGCACCTCAGCTTAACCATCTTCAGTGTGGTAAGGTCCATGGTTATGTTATTATCACATTAACCATCTTCAGTGTGGTAAGGTCCATGGTTATGTTATTATCACATTAACCATCTTCAGTGTGGTAAGGTCCATGGTTATGTTATTATCACATTAACCATCTTCAGTGTGGTACGGTCCATGGTTATGTTATTATCACATTAACCATCTTCAGTGTGGTACGGTCCATGGTTATGTTATTGTCACATTAACCATCTTCAGTGTGGTAAGGTCCATGGTTATGTTATTGTCACATTAACCATCTTCAGTGTGGTAAGGTCCATGGTTATGTTATTATCACATTAACCATCTTCAGTGTGGTAAGGTCCATGGTTATGTTATTGTCACATTAACCATCTTCAGTGTGGTAAGGTCCATGGTTATGTTATTATCACATTAACCATCTTCAGTGTGGTACGGTCCATGGTTATGTTATTGTCACATTAACCATCTTCAGTGTGGTAAGGTCCATGGTTATGTTATTATCACATTAACCATCTTCAGTGTGGTAAGGTCCATGGTTATGTTATTGTCACATTAACCATCTTCAGTGTGGTAAGGTCCATGGTTATGTTATTGTCACATTAACCATCTTCAGTGTGGTAAGGTCCATGGTTATGTTATTATCACATTAACCATCTTCAAACTGACCATGATTCAGTTGAAATGAATAAAACAACTTCCATAACGTGATCCATTCTTAACGACTGCAGCAGTGTCTCTGTGTAAAATACAGTCAAATGTCCAAATATCATCACCTCCATTTGCAGCTTTGTCACTACACCTGTTTTTACCATCGGTACCAGTCCACACTGTCCAACACACCAGCAACAACAGCAGAACCAGCAGCAGCACCAGCAGCAGCGCTCAAAACTCCTCTGATAGTTTCAGTAACACCACAAATGAATATGTGACATCAGTAACATCAATCTATCAATGGCAACATGTTGGTAAAAGCGAGTGGTTTCTCAGACCATGTCTGCAGTCTGTATGAGAGTTTTAACAACTCTCTCTCATTGTGCGGCTGCGATGCTAATGCTAATGTTGTTAGCACAGGTAGCTTCCCTTTACAGCAGCAGAACTAACCTCTCGCTCTGGGCACAAACAGACTGCTGTGTCTTCAGGGCCAGACAGGTTTATCTTCTGTTTTCTCAATTCTCCGCTCAAAGTGCCGTATTTTTCGCCGAGTCTTGTAGTTTAAGATGTTATTCCTCCAGCACCGCTCTGGTGGAGCCACTACAGACGCACTGGACTCACCCCTGAGCGCGGCGCTGCGGCGTCGCGTTGCGGAGCCTCGCGGAGCGGAACGGCTTTTTAAAATGTATTATTATTATATTTTTACATAAATGAGCCGCGGGCCGTATCAAATCTCTTGGCGGGCCGGTTCCGGCCCGAGGGCCGTATGAATGACACCCCTGCGCTATATCAATAAAGTTTACTTACTCAGTGTGTGGCATCTTTGCTCTTCTCTGAACAGATTTGTGGTTTCATGCATTCCTAACTGGTTTTGGGGTCCGATGGTGACTCTGGAGGATTGCCTTGCTGCCTTTTTTGCTGCAGATGAATTAAAAGGTAAACACAATGAATTTATTCAACTCTAGATCCTTGCACATATAAACATATTAAACGTGTGGTTTCCAGGAGACAACATGTACAGCTGTGAAAGGTGTAAAAAGTAGGAAATGATTAAAAAACCTATGATTTTACATTTATTATACTATTTCTATCTTTTTAAGACGTTTTGTTTGTTACCAGGTTGCGGAACGGTGTCAAGTACTGCAAAGTGCTCAAGCTCCCAGAGGTATTATTCATGATGTCTTGTTACGATTGTGTGTTAAAGTGCCAAGCTGTAGTTGTGTCCTTAGGCAAGACACCTCCCCCACTTTGCCTAGAAAGAGCCTGATGTGTGCCAGTGGTGTGGGAATAAACAATTGGGATTTTCTGCACACAATTAAAAAGATACAGTAGAGTAGAGCAAAGTATAGTGATATTTATTTCTATAATTATTGGTTTACTCTGGGAATTCACATCTGAGGTGTATGTTACGCTCTTACGTCTGCTTTTTGTGGCTCTAGTGACAGTCTATTGTATTTGAATAATTGTAGTTTTGTGCTGGGAGCTCACCGTTCATGTGAGAGTCACCTTCAGAGAATAGTGACGTCTTTTCTGTAACAAGGTCTTGAATGTTCAAGGATAATGTTTTTTCACCGCAGTTCATGTGCAGACCATAAATTATGACCTTTGAATAGAACAGTCTTCTTTTCCACAATTCTGCTTTGAGTTTAGCAGTGTTATTTTCCACAATCTTTGAAGTAGATGAGGGACATGAATTGCAATATATCACAGAATTGAATCACAATACATTCTATTGTATTTGAATAAGTGTAGTTTTGTGCTGGGAGCTCACCGTTTAAGTGAGAGGTTGCTTTCAGAGAATAATGAAGTCTTGTCTGTGATAAGACAAGACGTCATTATTGTCCTGAATGTTCAAAGATAAAAAAAATTGCACTTCAGTGAATGTGCACACCAGAAAATGTGACATTTGAGATGAGCAGACTTACTTTCCTCAATTTCTGTAATGCCTTTGAATAATATGAGGGATATGCAATGTATGACAACATTTAATCACAATACTTGCTGTATCACAATGTTAAGAATCCCAATAATACTGAATTGTGGCCAAAATATTGCAACACTATCAAATCCTCACATTCTTGCCAATTCCCAGCCCCAGTGTGTGCGTGAGTGAATGCCGTTGGTCAAACTTCTGTCAGTCTGCTGTAGCTGTATAAAACCAATGTGTTATTATTATTACATGTGTTATACATTGTACTTTACCTGATTTTATTTTTTTACAGATTTTATGTATTCACCTGAAACGCTTCCGACACGAGGTCATGTATTCGTTCAAGATCGGCAACCATGTGTCGTTTCCTCTCGAAGGGCTCGACATGCGCCCTTTTTTGGCCAAAGACAGCCCCTCTCAAGTCAGCACTTACGACCTGCTGTCCGTCATCTGTCACCACGGCACCGCAGGAAGTATGAACTATTCTAACTTCTCTGCAAATCCGGGGCGTCAAACCCATCCTCAAAAGGTTTTCGTGGGTGCAGGTTTTCATTTCAACCAAGGAGGGGCACACTTGGACTCCACCCAACTGAGTCTGGTCTTAACCTAGCCGGGTCTTACCATACCATCGTACTAATTTCCTTTGGGAGATGATAATTGACTGGAGTTTACAGAAGGCTAAGGCCAGGATAGTCTTAACCTAAAGGTGTACTCTTGCTTGGTTCGAATTAAAAGTATGTAAGTAAATAAGGGCAGCATGTTCTCCGTGTGTCTGCATAGGTTTCCTTCAGGTGCTCCGGTTTCCCGTACCACTAAAACGTCATGTACAATAGGCATGAATGTAATGAGGGAGGGAATGAATGGATGGTGTAGTGAATGTAAAAAAAATATTGGTACTGCAAATCGTAAAGCACTTTGGGTGAACTTGGTCTCTAAAATGCGCTGTATAAATAAAGATTACTTACTTGGAATTAAAACCTGCAGCCACACCGCCCTTCTCTGGAAGCAGTTTGAGACCCCTGTTTTAAATGCATGAAAGTAAATTGCAGAAAGAGTTCATAATCTTCATTGTTTTGTACGTTTGTGTGGTTGCTGCAGGTGGACATTACATCGCCTACTGTCAGAACGTGATCAACGGACAGTGGTATGAGTTCGATGATCAGTACGTCACCGAGGTCCATGAGACCGTGGTGCAGAACGCAGAGGCCTACGTGTTGTTTTACAGGTGAAAACACTACTAAGAAAATCATGCTGTACAAGTAGGATTGCAAAATGTCAAAAATAGCAATTAATGGGAATTTAAAGAATCAATGGTAATGTATGGTATTTTTTTTAACCTTTTCTTAACCAGCAAAGTCCCATTGAGATTAAGGACCTCTTTTTCAAGGGAGTCCTGGAATAAACGGGAATCAACTGGGAATTTGCCAGACAAAAGCTTGGCTCTTCATAGGCATTTTGACTATAGTTGGGGAAAGTACATTTTGGCGTAATCTTGATTAAAACAAACAGTTGCTTCATGAATATCTGTGTCATTCCTCAATCACATGCACATAGCACACTGTTATTGCGAGCACGCCCCCTGCTGGTCATGTGCCTCCATCACACTTACAGCAGATATGGAAGATGACCACATATTTAAGCACAAAGCACAAGTCCACAGGCTCAAATGTAAAACTACAAAAATCTTATGCTTGGATATGATGCATTTTAATTACATAACAATTCATTCCCAGTTTTGGAATATTCCCAAAATCCCCCAGCTTAACTTAATGATAAATTACCGGAAACTTTCCAGCCTTTCCTTTGCAACCCTCCGCACAAGAACACTAAACACTATGGTTGTGTTGTGTTTTTTTTTGTTGCAGGAAAAGTAGTGAGGAGTCGGTGAGAGAGCGGCAGAAGGTGGTGGCTCTCGCACACATGAAGGAGCCAAGTCTTCTGCAGTTCTACATCTCCAGAGAGTGGCTTAACAAGTTCAACACTTTCGCGGAACCCGGCCCGATTAGCAACCACACGTTCCTCTGCCACCATGGAGGTACGCTATTCTACCCTCAACGCATACAAACTGGGCGTTACTCGGTGCACTGTGTAGTTTCGAGATGCCATTGGGGATCCTACCAATTCTACTAATTCACTCTTTCACTCCAGATTTCATATTGACAGTATTGACCCCATTAGGAGGCAGCCGTTTTTTTTTTTTTTACTGTCAACCATTTTTCTTAATTTGGTGATTGCCCCCTTAGTTTTGGATCGTGGGTACAGTTAAAAGACCTGGGAACGCCTGTCCGCTCGGTTAAATATTCCGGGTTACTCACAGACAAGTTCCGAGCATGCGCATAGACTGACTAATCTCCGCAAAAGGGCGCTACAGGCAAAAAAGTGTTTAGTCACTCAGCCACCAATGTGCAAGACCTCCCACTTCAAAAGACGAAAGATGCCTGTAATTTGCATCATGGGTTATGACTCAACTATGAGAGTCAAAATGAGAAAAAGAATCCCGTAAATCACACATAATTGGTTTTGTAAAGGTTTTATTTGCAAACTATGGACAATGAACAGTGGACAATAAGTATTTAGTCAAGAGCAAACGTCCATCTCAATACTTTCTTATAAAAGCTTTGTTGGCAATGACAGAGGTCAAACATTTTCTGGAAGTCTTCATAAGGTATTTTTGCCCATTCCTCAATACATATCTCTTGTAGAGCAGTGATGTTTTGGCACTGCCAGTGGGTAACAAGGACTTTCCACATTTTGCAAATTAGGAGAATGACAGAGAAAATAATAATAAGTTTAAAATAAAGACAGAAAAAAACTTCATTAAATACGTACACATACACACTCATGCACATGCACACATACACCATACTTTTTATACTAGATAAGTAAGCCTAACTCATGAATGAACCACACAAATCCATATTTTCCGCATGTTTTCACACATTTGACACACAACATTTCATCTTCACAGGAATCCCTCCCCAAAAATACACCTACATTGACGACCTGGTTGTTATAGTCCCACAGAACGTCTGGGAATATCTCTATAACAGGTATTTATCCACACAAAACTGAATCTCTCTTGATCCGTCTTGTTGTGCTGTTTATTTGATTGTGTTTTGCTGAAATTTGCCGCTCGTCTCATATGTGTTTGTAGTTTTGGTGGAGGCCCGGCTGTTAACCACTTGTACATGTGCGGCATTTGTCAAGTGGAGATAGAAGCTCTGGCTAAACGCAGGAAAACGGAAATAGAGACTTTTATTAAGGTAACAAGACATTATGTGTGGAACTATGTTAAGTTGGTGGATAGAATGGACACATGATCCCAGAAGGGTTCAAGTGTATTTGAGTAATATACAATACTCCATAGTAGCTTATTGTGTATTGCTCTATGTACCGCACAGTATCACATTTGTAATTCTGTATTGATTGCGTATTGTATTCTGTGCATTCTTGTGTTCTTCTGCTTCGTCCAACCCCTTTTCAGACCTGTATTAGTATAGATATATGTGAAGTTGTGTTCTGCAGGTTTGAAATCAATCTAACTAACTTAAGTACGTTTCCCCATTCATCCAAATAGCTTCTTCAGTAAAGATGCAGCTCTAAGGGAATGAGTTCAGGCCGGATCCCCAAAATAAGAAACACATGTCACTTGACTGAAGTATAAAACAGTAATGTTCTAGCGCCTTCTAATGGACAGAGGAGGTATTTGGATAACCCTTTAGTGTGAACAAACCCATATGTAAAAGTGTCCCTAACCTTAGTATATGATAACTTATTAGATTTGAAATAACGAAGGTGGCATAAATATGAGCTATTATTGTGACAAATATTTAAAGTGTAAAGTTAAAAATAAATAACGTTGATATTCTCTGGTTTGAGCTATTTTTTGAATTTTTGGTGCCGGTTAGGCTGTCTAATTTGTAAATTTCTTTATATAAGGAATGGGGTAGGACTTTATACAAAAAGAAAAAAATCTTCATCCTTGTGCTTTTTTCATGAGATTATTGTGGCATTTTATTGCATTGCCATGAACAAAATCAGCAATAAATAAAGACTAATGACTAAAAAGGTATAGGTCTGTTTCCTTTACCATAGTATTAGAATAAACACATTTACAGAAAGTTCAGTAGAAAAAATGCAGCACACGGGTGATAATGTGATAGTGGAATTGTATGGGTTAGTAACTTGGAAAAAAAGCAGCTGCATTTCTTTCATTCTCACGCTTTTAAATGAAATCTTTTTTCATTGTTTTTATTTTATTTGCAGCTGAACAAAGAGTTTCAGGCCGAGGAGGCTCCGACTGTGATCTTGTGCATCAGTATGCAGTGGTTCAGAGAGTGGGAGAGTTTTGTGAAAGGAAAAGATAATGGTATGCACTCTCAACACACACTGGGCACAATTTTTTACAGCATTTACCTCTTTATTCTGCTGAAGTTGGAGATTTTAGACTTTCTTCTTTATTATTTTTAAAGCTAGAGATTTTATACTTGCTTCTTTATTATGCTAAAGTTATAGATTTGATTGTATTTTAGTATAGAACCCTTGTTCATGTATCATGTGTTGTGTGCTCTGCATTCTTACTGTTATGTAACTGCTGTGGGATGAATACGGTGGCTGAGTGGATAGCACTCTCGCTTCACAGCAAGAAAGTCCTGGGTTCGAATCTCGGTCGGAACAGGACCTTTCTGAGTGGAGTTTATACGTTCTCTGCGTGTCTGCGTAGGTTTCCTCCGGATGCTCTGGTTTCCCCTACCACTAAAAACATCTACAATACGGCAAATGAGTGTGTGGTTGTGTGTGAGACTGTGGGACGACAGATGGAAATTAGCCCAACCAAATAAACAATAAAAACAAACAAAAGATCTATTAATCTTACTCTTCTGTGAGTAATACCACCGTTGTATTGTTTTTGCCTTTAGAGCCACCAGGTCCCATTGACAACAGTAGAATCGGCATCATGAAGGGAGGACACATACAGCTCAAGCCAGGTACATATTGAACATTGAGAGGTTTTTCAACATAAACAATGATATAAATGTGTGTTTATTTTTTTTACCATTCTTCATCCCTCAGGGGCAGACTACGGGCAGATATCAGAGGACACGTGGCTGTACTTGTTGGGCATTTATGGAGGCGGTCCGGAGATCGCGGTCAGACAGACAGTGGCACCGGCGGTCGACACGGAGAGCCTCCACGGGGAGAGGAAGATCGAGGCTGAGACCAGAGCGCTCTGAAGTAAGAATAATAATATACATAACATAAAAGAACAGATAAACAGCCATACTGTGTCCATGTGCATTCATACATACAGTATATAAAAGCGGTTCATCTTGAATCATTTTAATTATTGTACAGTAATATCCGGACTATAAGCCTCTACTTTTAGTCAAGTTCTGCAGACCCTGCGGCTTATATAGCGATGCAGCCAGTGTATGTATTTTCATTGTGTTAAAGAATTTGGACGTGTCTCAATCAGTTGTGGTTTATGTGAACAAAAGAGAGGCGACACAGACGCAGGGAAACACGCATGACTTGTGATTATGTGATTTGCAGATCAAAGTTTAAGGACATTGTTATGACATGTTTTAGAACACAAAAAATGTCAAAATAGAAATTATATTAGTAAATGAGCATTAAAACAAGGCTATAGGGTTCTTCTAATAAGATAAAACTGTTAAGAAGACTTACTTACTTTCACCTTTATCTGAAAACTGTTAAAAAAGTGTGGCCTATGTATGGACAACATTTACTTTGGACGCGTCTCTATCAGTTGTGGTTTATGTGAACAGAAGAGAGGTGACACAGATGACTTGTTTTTAAGTGATTTTCAGATTAGAATTTATATTTTGAACTTTAAAAAAATGTATTAAACAAACATGAATAGAAATAAATTATTGTAGAATTGGTTTATGTGAACAGAAGACAGACGAGTTTATTGACTATATATTTTTACTATTTTTAACATGTTTTAGGACACAAATAGAAATAAATGAGTGTTAAAACAAGGCCTTTAAGGTTCTTCTAATAATATAAACGTGTAAAGAGGCTAGCACTGCTTAACTACATAACGTTTCATCCTTCTTCTGACAACTGTTTAACAAAGTCTGGCCTTTATGTGGACAAAAATTACTTTATTTTCAAATGTTGCTTGTGCGGTTTAAATACAGACGTGCTTTATAGTCCAGGGAGTACTGTACATATCATCAAAACTGTTCTTCTTTGGCTCATTCTGGTATTTCAGCAGCATCCTTTACTTTGATACTTTCTTTTGTGTCTTTCTCTTCTCTTCCTCTCATCTCCCTCCTTTTTCTCCTTTTTTAATACAACCACAGCTATCAAATGTATTCCACCACAATCAATACTTCTTTCAGTAAAACCAGTGCATATTTTTAAACCCATTTTGTAAAATAAAAATCTCGCATCGGTTTTAAATAGGAACATTTCCTAATGCTCCCCTTCATTTTTACACCCCTTTGATTATTTCTGTTATTGATTTTTGTAGTCCTCTACTATCTCTCACTCTGGTGTCTATTTGACTAACATACATACACAAAAAGTTAACATTGTCCTCAAAGCTATTTAGTAATTTGGCGCATTTGAATTTGTTCACATTCATATATTTTGTTTTTCTTTTCAGTATTGTGATGTAAATATGTATCAGGATGTCATTGCCATTCCAAAATGCAGCATTTCTGACATTTCACAGTAAAAGTCAGAGAGATAATGTATAACAACAAAATGAAAGTGCAAAGTTTAAGATCCCACTGCTGCTTGGTATCTATCCACACATCAAAAGTAATTCAAAATACTTGCTTATTTAGCCAATAGCCTGTAGTTTGCACATTGTCTTCTTATATAAATTCTTCTTAATTATTGAATCAGATGTGAAACCACAAATTAACACGGAAAACATATTGAAATGTTATGCCTCCCGTTGCATTTCCGTTGTTGCATAATTTTAATAAACGCACGCTTTGATTTCCAGATGAAGCCAAAGGATTTCTTCACTGATCGGAGACCTTCTGTCCTCCCTTGTTCTGACAAGAAGCTGAGGAATTTGCCCCTGACAGAAGAGGCTGAGTCGTGAGCACTTTGTAAATGTAGCATTGCGTCGTCAAGAAATATTTATTTGAGGAAAACAAATCTTCACAGTCATCGGCCTCGTAAAAAAGGGGGTTTTTATGCAGTTTAGAGGCGAGGCTGCTTAAGAATGAGCCAAAATCAAACTTCACAAATCTAGGTTAGTCTTTGCGTTACTATTATTATTATTATTATTATTATATATCATGAACTTTTAGTGTTTTATTTAACAGACCTCACAACCTTAACACGTTGATGAACCCTCAGGAATGAAAGGTAGTTGCTATTGTCAGCCAGGGTTAATGTTGTTTTCAAAAAAGTCTATTTAATTTCAAACTTGTGATAATGTACATAGTAAGAGAGGATCACACAGCCCGAAGGTGTGTGTTGAAATCCTTGCTCTTGTCAGGTCTTTCGAGGTATTTTAAATCATATATTAGCAGTGGGCTGACCGAATGCTGACGTCACCGTAGTGTTAGCCTTAATGCTGAAGAAGCTGATTTGAACATAAGCTAGCTGGAGCCAATTTCCGTACAAGAGCATTTATTCCGTGCCGTTTGCTTTGCCCTGTGCAGATTTGTTATTTATGCGGTTGCTAGGGCTACTGTAGCTGGAGTTTTCCCCCAGGAATGAAGGAATTTTTTTGGCTCTTTTTTTGGCTCTTCTGGATTTACAAAGACAATACCAAACTATAAACACCAGGATCACAGAGAGCGCTAACCTACATATTTTTTAAACCCCAAGATGGTGAGTGCGGCACAAGGAGTTACGGAGCAAGAGGAGTTTACTTTTCAATGTAAGTCAGTAGGAGTCAAGAGTGAGTTGGAGCAAAGCTTTGTCCAGGAGAACTTCCCATTTGGGCTTCACTTAGCTAGCGGGTTAGCATTGTCCATCTATATACAGTCTTATGATAGGTATGTAAGTATTGTCTATACGGAGTAAGTTTACACGTTTGGGGGAATGTACAGCTTGTGTCTGGTGCTATATTGATAGTGCTAATAATGATGGTAGTGCTAATGATTGAAGGATTTATCAAGATTATGTATGGGGTTAAAGGTATAGAGGAGGATTTTCTACTTCCAGGTGGATCATCAAGACTATTGGTCCTCCTAATTGTCAATCATTCTGGTGATACTGTACGTGTTCGTTAAACAAGATCAGCCTTAGACATCCGTAAACTCCGGCCAATTATCATTTCCTGCATGTACGTCTGGGGCTAAGCTTTGTGGCTGCAGTTTCCTCGGTTGAATCCCCTCCGACCAATCAGCGAGCGGGGGAGGCGGGTGTTGTAGGTCGGTGTCGGCGACGTCAAGAGTTTGCGCCGAATTTGCCGATTGTAGTTTGGAGATGGCGGAGAATGCGATAGTAAAGTAATCAGTTCTAGCTCCAATTTGTTGATATTTTAGAGCCGGAGCAAGAGGAATGTTTTGCAAATTTCATTACTTGCAAAGATGTTGTGGCTCTAATCCCCACGGGCTCCATCAGTGGCAAAGAAGACGGCTAAAGCGAGGCTAGATGCTAAATGCCTCACTCATTCGGGCAAACGTTAAACTCAGATTCAATCGTTTCAATCTGCAAAAGGAGTTAACCCCTCCCACCTGTTAACAGACTCAAATTCAGTGTCAAAATTAAATTAGTACAATGGTTTGGTAAGACCAGGCTGGAGAGAGCTGTTCTTTCCTAAAATGTTGGAAAATCCTCCTATATGCCTTTTTAATTAACGTACTGTAATGCAGCTCAATGCTCCAAAATATTTCCACAATTCTTGGACCTTAATCATGTTTAATATAATCTCCTGTTTTTGAAAGAAATGTGACATAATGTAAACCTGAGCCACATTTATATACATTAGAAATTTGATCCAGCAATTCCATTTATATCTGATTGTACAGTTTCTCTTCAGTTCGTTTCCGTTCTACAGAAAAGTCACGCAGCGTTGTCCTTCTCTTTGTATCACAGAGTTGAACCACTGTAACATATTAACCGGTGATAAGGAGTGGACAGGCTGACGTCACCGTAGTGTTTGCCTTTATTGGGGAAGAACCTGAGTATGTAGAGCTAACCCGAACAGGCTCCACGGCTGGGAACCTGGAGCCAAATTTGGGGATAGCAACACCCTAGCAACCGAAGAGCCAATCAGAGGTGACACTGCTCTGTCCTTGCTTGTGCTATGAACTAGATTAAGCTGAGATTGTCACGTGATTGGCCAATTATTAGAGGTCATATCTAAATTTATGAAGACAATATTGAGATAAAAACACCTGAAATGGTGATGTAACAGTTAGATAATAAGAAATAAGGTTACTTAAAGTTTTCAATGCAAGTGTATGGAGGCTAAAGCGAGTTAGCTAGCAGGTTAGCATCGTCCTTACCTATACAGTCTAAAACCAAGACAAAATATGTGCATTATTGCGGTTAACTAAGTGTATTTTTCAGACGTTGCTCAGCTCGGCTTAAACTATAGAGAGTTTAGAAAGTTGTATCATCTGAGAACAACTTATCCCCAAAAAAACTGCAGTATTTGTAAATATGTCGCTCATTTCTTTTCTGGATACATGACTGGAGACATTACCAGTGCCTTTTCATGTATTGCTTCTTAACGTATTTATTGGTTTTTGTCGAGTATTTTGGTGTAATTTAAACGTACATTTATTTCAGTTAAAGCACCATACAGTATTTTGTAAATGGTTTTCTATTGTTGTTGTGTTGCTTAAAGCTGGGGTATCTCACTTTTCTTCATAAATGATAGTTTTTGTTTGTACCCACAGAAAGTAAACAATAAATCAGACCAATTATGCTGTCTTTACCTTTACTAGAAACAGTTTTTTTTTCTTTGTTTCTTAGCATACTTGCAGGAAAGAGCCCTGTGAGTCAATATTTGACACTTTGGGCTCAAATAGTGAGAGGTGATTGGTTTTCTTTTTATCACCTTTTTGTGTTTATTTACTGCAGTGGTGGCGTGCCCGGGCGTGACTACATCCGTTAATATTTATAGTCTATAGTTTACAAGCCCCGGCGATCCAAGATGGCGCCGTATTCAAATTAATCGTTTGTGCTCAGTGGCGCTTTGTGCCGGCACGGTCGCTGACATATTAGCGGAACTAGCAGAGTTTGTGTAGATTTAAAGAAAACTGAAGGATTGAAGAAGAAAAAA